CTGCTGGAGTCGCTGGACCTGAATCTCCATGGTTTGCCAGCGCTGCTCCTGTTGGATCCGCTCCGTGTTGACAGTTTTGTCTCTTATGGTCTGGGCATCAATTAGTGACTTCATCATCCCAGCCAATTCCTCCATTTTCTCTTCCACACCACTTGCCTTTGGACTCTTTTTCACACCTGAACAGAAGATAAAAAGGGGAGGTAAGTAAAAGCAGATCCACCATTCATTAAAACACAATAAAATACACTAAACACATCAACACTTAAAACATTCTAAAACAGATATTGCACCATATTTATTGCACAAAGTCAATTTAAAATGTAATTTGTTATTGTCTCCCTTTTCCTCCAGGGACAAGCAACTTCCAATTAAAGTGCTGTGCCTCAGGAATAAAAAATGGTTAAAGGAAAGCCAATAAATATTTTTTAAAACCAATTGTATGCAATTTATTTTGTGATGTGCAAATATGTTAAAAGTGCTGTGTGCTTGGAAAGTGCAGTGTTTTAAAGTGCTCTAGTGAAGGGTGAAGGTGCTAAGTGTGGTTCTAGGGTAACAAACCAGCCTGTTTGTTACACACATGTCAAATTAAAATTCAAAGGAATAAAAAAATGTCTGAGTTCTTGTTCCTGATCATCTCAGAAATTAGATTTCCATGAGCACAAAAAGAATGATTGAATTTGGCATTTCCTTCTCCTCATGGTTATGGCAGTTTTAATATTTTCCAGTGTGCCACAGCGGTTAACATAAGGACAGTGTAAATAGTCATCATAGTATTGGCCATTGAGCCAGCTCCACTGATCTCCCAGGTACCTCAGCCCAATCCACACCTAACAAAAAATATAATAAAGTACATGAAGAATCAGCTGGTGAGAATAAGCTACAAAGTGATAAATACTTACCACATAAAAATCAGACTGAAAGATGTCTTGAGCGTACACATTCTCAAGAGTGAGTGGTGAGGCCAGGTCATAGCTGTGGTTCCCATAGACTGTAGGGTGATGTTGTTTCAGATTTCTGCAGTGCTCCAGAGCCTCCTCCCATGGTTTCTCCTGCTCCACTAAGATGAATTCTTCCATACAGTAGAAGGGAAAAGGGTCTTCACAACTCCTGCTGTGCCAACCGACATCACCTTCCATCTTGAAGCCACAGTTCAGATCTAAGATCGGCTCACCTAAAAAGACAATAAAACTATAAAAATGTTAACCCATAGACAGGCACACATGGCACTACTGCAAACATAAAATGCATTTTAAGGAAGTGAATCAAAGTTGCATGTATGTATGAACTTTCTCCGTTTAAATTTCTTTCAAGTCAAAAGAAGCTAGGCACTCATGTCTTCTCAGGGCCAAAACTGAGAGGATGAGGAAGAGCTTCTAAACTGAGGCACTAACTCCCTCTCCACTTCCACATAAATAAAACAACTGAAGTTCTTGTGTTTTCACCTTATCCACCTTGCACGCTTTTGTCACTAAATGCCCCTAAACTGTGCTTTTTTCTGACAGCACTTCCAATTAAATGGGAATCCTATTCATGTCAATGGCGAATCTTAAATCTGACATAAAGACGGTTCATTTAAGTAAAATGTACATATACAGTACTCAAAAATGTTGATATTTTTATTGGGAGATGTAAAGAATTACCTGAACTCCAGATGTAGAAGTTGTTATCCACATATCCATTTGACCACCCCCAAATGATGATGCCAAGGAGTTGGCTGTACAACCCAATCCAGCCGTCGTGGATGATCAGGTCGTTCTCATCTTGGGTCCTGATGGTGAGCAGGTCTGTGTGGTGCTGTCGACAGTAGGCCTGAGCATCAATCCAAGTCTTATTTTCATTTATTCTATATATGATCCTCTTCAGGTTGGTGGCTCCCACACAGAGCAGAGGCAGGAGCGGCAACGTCCAGTGCACCATCTTTCTGCACATACAGGTTTTATTTTCTTAATATTACTTTTTCAGTTATTATTGGTTGTGAATGAACATACTATAACCACACAAAATGGAATTATAGGATGATACATTACAATTAACACTAAGTAGCAAATGATGGTTAAGATAAGATATAGCATAGTTAATACTAGTTAAGATCTAGTATTTCCAAATTGCAAATATTTGACAAAAAGTATAGAAAAGCTAATGTTTGTAATATACAAATGACAAATATATACATTTTTCAAATTGTGTGCATGGAAACAATTATGATTATGTTGTAAGGGAAGGCTGAAAACATATATTTCAACTCTAAAAGTTTTCTTTCAAATTAAAAAGGCTATTCAACATAAAAATAAAAAAAAATCTCTTACACATGTTTACAATATATCTAAAGAAAAATTTTTAATAAAATCAAAATTAAAACACATTACCTACAGGGGGAGATGATCTGGAAGCTTGGGGGTTGAAAATTCTACACTGAGTGCAACAAAAACACATGTATAGAAAAATCTAATGTAATTGTAACAGCCACCGGACAAGACTGAGTCCAACTGTGAGCCTTTTGAGCTCTCATCAGCGTAATACCCTGATTAAATCCCCAACGTGATGATCCTGAGCACTGTTTTACATGACATTTGCCAAATCGGAAAAAAAGAGTGAGATGATTTATCGCATTTGTCTAGTTACAACACAGGTTTACCTCAAGTCACTCCATGGAAATGAGTGACTTTGAAACAGTCTTCATACTCTAGTGATTATCTGTGTGTGGTCATAGGTTATTGTTTACATCTAACCCATTCTTCTCTCTCTCTCTCTCTCGTTTGTTTGTCTTGGCCACGTCAAACTTCAACTGCCCAACTCAAGGTGCTTTTTTTGTCCTTTTATCAGTAACTTAAAAAAAATAATTAAATGTTTTTTTTTTTAATATACATTCATCTACCACTGTGTTCATTTTAATTTTCTCTGTCCATAGTGACCTCCAGCACCCCTCTAAACCAGGTCCCTCTCAACATAAGAAGTCAAAGTATTTTGGGTTCCACTTTAATAATTATCGCTTAATTAGCTTTAAAGGTGCACTGCGTAACTTTTCTGGAGAGTCCGCAATTACAACCTGTTTGTCTCCATGGAGATGTTAGAGTTTGGAGATGCTTTGGTTTAAATTATCCAGAATATGGTATGGCTTGCAAGTCTTCACAGAGCAGGGGTCTCCAACCTTTTTCCTCTGGTCAGCTACCTTTACAAAATGAAAATGCTGAGAGCTACTAATGTTAGCAGTCACAAGAAATTGAGCGTATATAAGAGCCGCAACAAGCTTTAGATGAGGCACAGTTAGATGCCTAAAACATAAACCTTTATCCAATTACTGGTGCACAAAGTTAGGCATCAAAATTATATTTTTACAGTGATAATAGGCATTTAATTCACCAAACTGAGTTATTTAGCACAGAAATTATAATTCAGAAATCCCTTGGCGAGCTACTTGGAAGGTTGGAGACCCCTGCCAGAGACTGTTAAGTTTATGGCCATACTGTGGAACATTCTCCATGGAGCAGGTGATGGACCCTCCTCAAGATAAGTTGCACAGTGCACCTTTAATAAAGCATGAACAGACTTAATTCATAATGAACAAATTGTTTATCAAGCATGACTCAGGATTAATAACTTCTACTTAATTAAGAGGTTAGGATTTAGGATGCTAATTATTACTAAGCCTGAATCATTCTTAATTATCAATTCGTTCTTTATGAATTAATTCTTTCTACGTGCTTTATTGTCATTAATAAGTTTGTGTTACAGTATTCAGGGCTAAAATTAAACAAAGCACTTCAGGTCTTCTACATGGTCCTTATTTGTAATACTGGTGGGTTAGTTATATTCTTTCAACTTGCCCCCAACCACATTTTCTTTCACTTGCAACAAACACTTAACTTAAAGGTCCTATATTATGAGAAAATGACTCTTGTGAGCTTTAAGCCATGTTATAATGTTGTTACCTCATCAAAAATATACCTGGAGTTGTTTGTTTCATTCACATGTTTCAGTAATCCTTTATTAGTCTGTCTCCAAAGCTCAAAATGCTCTGTTCCACCTTATGATGTCATGAAACAATAGTTTTTAAGTAAACAGCTCCTTTTACCTTTTGTTACATATAGACTTGTCAATTCCAGGGTTGAAATTATCCAAATGATACTTGTGAAGGTGTTTGGAGTTTAAAAACACTGTGGAGCACTTCCTGTACCACATGATATCACAAGGTGGAACGGATGGTTTTTAGTTTGAGAGTAGAACACTGTCTAAATATGCAGGATTTCTGTGTTAAACATGTGTGAATGAAACAAAATATAACTCCATGTATGTTTGTGATGAAGAAATAACATAAGATCAGAAAATAGCATAATATGGGCCCTTTAAATGTGCCCATTTTCACAGAAGACCAAACGTGATAACCTGTAAATCAAACAACTTTTATTACGTTTGTTTTGCTTGCCCTGCCTCTTATTTGCATTGTCCAAAGAACTCCTACGTGACATGTCTTAGGCTGGCATTTGAATGGCATAAGAATTCATTTAATTTGCTCATTTATATGGAAAGCCTTGGTTTGAATGGCAGATGATGGCCACATCTTTCAGGTGCTTGTTTTCAAGACAAATGCGTACTAGCCTCACATGTGATGGACATAGGCAAAACTGTTTTTAGCATAACCTTTAAAAAGTTCAGAAAGAAAGAAAGTTATTATCTGTAAGTCTCTGGTTTGTGGGAAAAATGTGTCATCCCACTGAATGGTCAGATCAAATTGGAAATGAGTTTCTAACCCTGCTGTGAGCACACATGATTTAAATTGAACCGGTTAATATTGTCAGAATACCTCAATTTATGCTTTCATTATTTCAATAACTGAAGGGGACTAGGGACATCACAGTTGCTGCTGAGAGCCTGAGATGTTGCAACCAAGAGTGTGGAGCCCATTGGGATTTCTGTTTAGATAATCATATTGAAAAACAAAATAAAAATGTAAGCAAGCTTTTACATACATTTTTAATACATCAACAATGAAACTGTTATCATCAGTTAACTTAATATTTATTGGAACATGTTTACTTCACATGTAGATAACATATTAAGATGAAACATATTTTGTTTACATACACCATCAAACTTGTATCAGCATCGGGACAATTTTATCTCTCAAAATAATCTTAAAAAATGAATAATGAGTCTGGACAGTGCAACTTCCCTACAAGGGTTTTAATATTTACATCCTGTATTAATAACTGTACTAAATAATTTGTCTATATGTACTATTAAGAATTCACTGTTTTTCCTATTCTTCATTCTTAAACTTCTCCTTGGCTTGGAGCGTACTGCAGTTCAACACAGTAGATGCAAGTTGTCGGTCTCAGCCTCCAGAACAGTCCCATGTTGAGTGGGACTACGAGTTTGCCCCAGTGCGAGGCCCTTGTATGAAATGGATCCGTGCTTCATCATCTATTTCATCCATGATCTTCTCCTGTTTAACAGAATAAATGGTGTAGCTGACTGAATACCACATTACATTAAGGAAGAACACGTGACATACACCTTTTCAAACTTCTCTATCTAAGTTTTAGTCAGTCATATGCTTACTGTCAATATTAGTCCACCTTTCAATTCATATTTACATGTACATCTTATATTTCAGATGGACATAATATACTTTTTATACAACCCTATTATGTGATGTTTAACAAAGGGAAAAAGAATAAGATAAATTAAGCAAACATTTTATTCAGCATAGTTTTAAACATAATGGAACACGCCTATAGCCTATCCAAACTAAAGTGCCATTTGCATAGCAGTCAGTAATGTTGTTTTCGCATGAAGGTCCTTTACAAATGATGTTGTGTTTCTTGTATACAACACAATCCTGGATGAAACGGACCACTAATAGACCATCACTATTGCTGCAAGGCTCACAGACAACTTGCAGAATGTCTCTCCGCACCCTTCACACCCCATTTTATATTTGCTGTCTTAACCCTCTCCAGGCAGGCGTTGCAGATTTGCAACAGCTAAATGCCAATTACCTCCAAATCCATATTTTATTAGCTTTTTTTACTCAGGAGCCTTTTTTCCCATCCATGCTGATAACATGGACGATGTAGACTGTGCAAGAATGGCTACACACAAACGACCTGCCAGAAGTGCATAGTACTTTTGTTGTTTACAAAGGATAAAAATTGTTTCTTGGAGTACAACATGAAAAAGTGATGTTGATCTGCAAATGTAAAGCACTGTTACACTGTGCTTTTTGTTTTCATTGTTATGAAAAGTGGTATACACATAAAGTTAGCATTCATATCATTTTCAATCTTCAGTGTTAATTTACCACACCGGACCAATGCTGCAAATCTGCAACATCCCAGAACGCATTGGATGTGAAGGTCTCTCTCTCAAAAAAAAAGTCAGGATTGTATATTACTACCCCATATGATCATTTTCCCCAAATATCTGATTTTTTCCTGTTACTAAAATTTAATTTGAGCCTGAGAGGGTTAAAGTCTATGGGTCAATACAAATAAAGTAAATAAAATCATATAGGCACACGTATAACCTACTGATACAGCACACATTATACAATTAAATTTACAGCAAGTCTGATCTTCTGTCTGACTTAAAAATTACGAGATTTGCAATGATGTATTGTATATTTTAATATGATCTCTTATTGTTTTTGATTAGTGTCAGTGATGGTGCGATGGTAAATGGCACTGAAGGATACATATTGAGATGACAAACGCTCCAATTGTGAGGCCAGTCAGGAGGTTACGCCGCCGTATTCGACCCGCATTTTGCTGCCAGTAATCGAGTTGCTTTCGGTGGGTTAAAAGTTGTTTCTGTGCCGCTGTTAGGGCTGACTTCTGCGGTCCTTGCTCCGCCATGTCTTGTTTAGATAACCCTCAGCGTGACCTACGAACTGATAGAGATGTTTTGTTGGAAATGCTGCCATCGTCTGGTAAGGCGTGGGTTGGTTTTGAAAAATTCCTGTGTTACTTTTTTTTTTTTTTTTTTGTCTATGACTTAAATTTGCTACTGACCTACTAATAAACGCATCTCATGTATTTTAAATAATACAGTAATGAAATAAACAGAAAAGGAAAATCAGAATACAGATATTGAACTACAATACCCATAATGCAACTCACATCCACTTCCGGAGCGTGGGGTTAAAAGCTGGAATGTTTTGGTTTTTGCCGCTTTCATGTTCTGAGAAGAAGCTAGCTGACTGATTTGTGCCAATGGATACTTTATTTAGACACCGATCGCTCTATAAAGCCACCACCCCACCATGGAAAGAAACGTACCGAAAGGTAAGGAAGAGGTTATTAATGTTTGGCACTGCTAAAACTTTTTGGTAGCGATTTTAAGCTAGTATAATGATGTGTGTTGTGTCTCCCTTGCCTTTTGTCAGCGCTGTGTGGACAGACTGAAGAACAGCAGGTCCAAACTGCTGGAGCGGTACCGACAGATGGGGGAGGGTCCGCAGCCTAAGGCCTTCGGAGGGTCAATTATCGTCCAGGAGGTGATGGAGGAGGAATGGAGCGCTCTGCAGGCAGAAAACCAGCACAGACTGCCCTCTCTGTGGGGCTCCAGCAACATGACAGAGGTTTGTCTGCCTCAAGACTAGGGCTGGATGATTAAGAAGTTGCCAGTACGATACATACCTCGATACATAGGCCACGATATGAAAAGCACCCATTTTACTCAAAACTGTGAAAATGTCAACACAATTGTGGTTCTTACACAAATTAATTTAGTAAAATATATCTAAAGAATACTGTTGACAATATATCAATACAGCAGCCCACTATACTGATAAGTTTTTATTTATATAGCACTTTTCACAGACTTATATCACAAAGACTATTTACAGAGCATTATTCATTCACTCCATACCTGGGGATGGTAAGCTACTATTGTAGCCACAGCTGCCCTGGGGCAGACTGACAGAAGCGCCGCTGCCAATCTGCGCCATCTGCCCCTCCGACCGTCACTCACGCACACACCACATTCATACTAGGCAATGTGGGTGAAGTGTCTTGCCTAAGGACACAATGACATTTTGTTGTGACTGGTGCCCCACTGCTGATTTTCCCAGTGGTTTCCCAACCAGACCCGGCCCTGCTGCGCTTCTGACATCTGACGGGATCGGGCTTTGACAAGCTGGTGTGACCACATACTGATACTGTATTAGCACATTAAACTATACAATATTTTGAAATGTTTGCACAATCCTACTCAAGACTTCAAAACAGTGTTTAAAATTAACATGTAAAGACAAATGCTATAGCATCTAGAGGACAGCAATCTAATGTAGGTCACATTACATCCATGCAAGGAGCACTGTGCAACTTTTCTGGTGCAGGGTGACCTGCTTGTCTCCATGGAGGTGTTACTGATTGCTTTCCCTGGAATGTTCTGTTGTATGACATCAAACATATCCATCTAGCATTTATTAATTACAGGTCTTTCTATTGTTCAAAAATACAATAATTTGTTCTGTGAATAAGGTTTCCTCTCCACAGATCTGAAATGTAATGTAAAGTAGTGCTGTAACCTGCTTGTCTCCCTTGTGATGGATATATTTAATTTATACTGTGGAACATTATAAACAACGCAATAATGTTTCCCTGGACACAAGCAGGTGGCGGACCCTCAACTAGAAATGTTATGTGGTGCATCTTTACGCCTAAATGAGTTGTAGACGTATCAGTTCGAGTACAAATCAGTTATCATTTCAACCAGGGGTCGGCAATCCGCGGCTCCAGAGCCGCATGCGGCTCTTCAGCACTCCCCTAGTGGCTCCCTGGAGCTTTTTCAAATATGAGTGAAAATGGAAAAGGAATGATTTTTTTGGTTGTTGTTTTAATATGGTTTCTTTAGGGGTAAAACCCTCGTTCATCTCTAGTCATGGATTGATCCATCAGCTGTGTGTGCAAATGCAAACACATGAAAAATGTTTCAGCAGAACAAATAGATGAGCTGAAGCGGAGGGTGGTGTCCTGTGCCTCCACCTGAGAAGCGCTTTCCCCAAAAAAGAAAAAAAAAAAAACAGGTGCGCAGACGGACGCTCAGAATAACATATAACGAACCAAACGGGATTCGCGCTTCTGTCCGGATGCTTTGCACCCCCTTGGAACCAGCCACGGTCGAGCACGGAGGACCAGAGCAGACCGCTGGACCTGTGGTCCACAGCGCATTCTTGCTTTTCCCACACGGAACCAGCGCACAGATGACGGCACTGAAGCACTCGGACCCAGTCCTTTGCGCCCTGGTCTTGCTCGCCCCCGTCTGGAACCAGGACATGGAGGACGAAGCCTCCGGACAATCTGACCAACACTGGACCCACAGCTCTGTCTTGAGGAGCTGCACACTGACTGCTCCCATGTGTTTAGCGCTGCTGCCCGAGTTCAGAGCTTCTGCTCCGGGTTTATTTTATGAGTGCTCCTATGCACGATCAGAAGAAATGCGACTGCTGCTCTGAATGCTTCCATCATCATGGTCAAAGCAACAGGTAAACGTCGGTCACACTTTCAGTGCGTCAGCTCCTAAAACTCTGTTTATCTCAGTTTACACGCAAACGTGAAACCGGAGTTTTCCAAAATCTCCACTCTAGCCGGAGTTTTTAGAAAGATTCGTTTTCAGAGGCGAATTAACGTGTAAACGATGTGTACAAACTCAGGGAAATGTGTCCGTTTTAAAAATACCCCTGTACGTGTAAACGGGGCCTAAATGACAAAGGAATAAACACTAACCACCTGATTTCAGTGGCTACAGACGGCGCAGAGTATGAGAGGGTCGCAAAAGGGGTTTGTGTAATCATGAATGCTTATTTTGTATTTGTAGCCTACTTAGTCATTTTGATAGTAGGCTTATATAGATAATATACTGACAGCCTATGTTGCCTTCATATTAGGCTTATATAAGGCTTTTCATTTTGTGCGGCTCCAGGCAGGTATGGTTTTTGTTTTTTTGGGCCAATATAGTTCTTTGAGCATTTTGGGTTGCCGACCCCTGATTTCAACCCACTGAAATATTTAACTTCATAAAACTCTGAGCCATTTTTCTTTTAGTGACACTATATTCTCGCATCCAATCTCACATACTTTAGCATTGTCAAGGACAAAAATGTTAACTGAATTATTTTTTCTAGGACTCTATAAACAATATGGGCAGATTTTTATTTTAATCTCCACAGATGTTTGGTGTCACAAAGGAATATGATGAATTGGCAGTACTTGAAGAAATCCAGCAGGAGCTTTTGTCTCATGGTAGTAATAAATTATATTACAATACATTGGCCCCATGTTGACTCAAGAAATAAGGCACAATTTCTGTGTGAATAATCTTACAGAAATGTCTATAATTGAAGAATTTGAGAAAAATCAACAGTTCGAACAGCAATATATATCATCTATGGTGGAAGGAATGGACGAAGACATGGATCACATAATTTGTCCTGTTTGTCATGTGTAAGTTCATATTGAGGGAGGGAAATTTTCTGTTTTTATCATAACTCATTCACAGAATTATAATTTGATCTCTTTTCTTCCAGGAATAATTTGACTGTAAATAATCTTTTTATTTCCTGTCCTTGTGGCGTGTATATTAATACTAAGGTAAATTTATTCATTTTATTTGCCTCATTGTTATTTAACATAAATGGCTTTGAGTTTTAAATTGATAATCTTTGAAAACCTTTCTACTGCAGAGTCGTAATATCAGTCCAGAAGTTCTAAAAGACCTGCTGGAATCCCAGATTTCTGAGCACATGGAGGAGTGCTTTCACAATCCCATTTTCTCTATGGCATCTAATGGAGACAGTCCTCCTAACCTGATGATCAGCTGCCAGGTAACTAGAGCAATCTTTGACATTATCAAACAAATGTTTTACACATTCTTACTTGTTAACAATGCTTTTTGTTTTTTCTTTCATACAGGCTTGTGACTATTTGTCTGTTGTCCTATAAGAATCTATTTATGTGTTTTTAATTGCATATTTTAAGTCTGTAGTATAAAATAAAGATTATTTATTTTTATCCACTTCTTATTTTCTAAGCAGCAATGAATAAGAAACAATTTAGCTGGATACCTACATAGATAAAGGTATTCTGCTATTGAATATTATGCATGCATATAATGGGGCTTTTGGATTTGTATTTATTCACCTCACACCTGGTGATGATGGTAAGCTACTTGAGTAGCTGTGGCTGCCCCGGAGTAGACTAATGGAAGTGGGGCTGCCAATCTGTGCCATCAGCCCCTCTGATAACCACTAATCACTTGCACACAACATGAAGCTGAAGTGTCGTGCCCAAGTACACAACAACAACCATAAATAAGTTACTCATTAAAATATGTACATTTGCTTTGAGCCTTTGAAGTGAGCCTGTTTTTGTTGCCGTTTATTATAAATGATATAATCTAGTCTAAAAGACTATAGATATTTGAATGTTATATAAACTAAAGTATGTGACTGACTTAAGAGTAAACTTACATTTGCTGGAGCCTGCGCAGTCAAAGTGAACAGTTTACCTCAGATGACTCTGGGCATTAAAATTCTGCAGACATACAGTGTGTGCCAGAGCCAGTGTGTGAACTGAACGGAAGAGGCAGAAATAGCTCTTGGTTGCCTGTAGAGGACGGCATTGACCAGAGCTATGTGAGCGGAGGAGCGCAGGAGCCAGAGCGGACTGACTGCGGAGTGGAGCGGCGGGACGCGCAGGGAAGATGGCAGCCGCGGCTGTGGCTGAATTTCAGAGAGCACAGTCTCTTATTGGAACTGACCGGAATGCCTCTATTGACATCCTCCACTCCATAGGTATGTGCCGATGACAAGGATGGTACAGAGGCCTCTGTAGACAGACACGCACACATCTGGCTTTTGTTAGCAGCTAAGCTAAGCTAAGTTGCGTGCGGGAGCCCGATGTTTGTGCAGTGAGTCAGCAGCAGTTTGTAGCCGCTAACAACACCGGCTAGCTTCAAGGCTAACGACCACAGCTCATTCATCTGACAGCAACTTGGTGACAGCTCAGCTAGCTGCCTTTAGCATGGAAAGTGTGTTGCTAACAGGAAAGCCGTGTCCATCGTGTTGTAGGGATATAATTTGATAATGTAATAAGATTTGATTGTTCGGTGCGTTGTTACTTGGCGTACGATTACTTTGTGCCATGATCATTCACGTGACGCATCCGCTGACAAGACCCAGTTTGACATTTAGCAGTGGTCCAGGTTTTGCTTACTGCTAAACTCTGACTTTTCTATTTGTGTGTTCAGTGAAGCGGGACATCCATGACAGTGATGAGGAGGCAGTGCGGATTAAAGAGCAGAGCATCCTGGAGCTTGGAGGATTGCTAGCCAAGACGGGACAGGCAGCAGGTAACTGGGGTTAATTAGGGTTAAAAAGAAAGAGAAAAGCATTATAACGTCACAATGTCATAGTTACTGAAAACATACTACTAAAAAGTTTTTCTACCTACATTTGGAAGCTATTAGTTTAATACAGTAAACATTTGTAACAAAGTTCATTTTGGAGTTTATAATAAGTAAGTTGTGCAAACAACAGAATGCGCATTAAAATGTTTATTTAAATGCTCAGTTGTTCATATCTGTTTCAACCATAATGAGCCTTGACTTTGTCTCCCCTCCAGAGCTTGGTGGTCTCCTTAAATATGTGCGGCCATTCCTCAACTCCATCTCTAAGGCCAAGGCGGCGCGGCTGGTGCGCTCCCTCCTTGACATGTTCCTGGATATGGAGGCTGCCACAGGACAGGAAGTGGACCTGTGCCTGGAGTGCATTGAGTGGGCCAAAGCTGAGAAGAGAACCTTCCTCCGACAGGCACTGGAGGTGAGGGGTCACAGGAGTTACACCAGGATTTAATCCACAATTGAGCAGTTCATGTAATTTCACCTAGAACAGATCCAGCATTGTAAGTAGTCCAGTAATCCACTATATTAATTTATGAAAAGAAGAGGCCCTAATTTGACTTTCTATAAGAAAATCCCCATCAGTCTGTTGGTACTTTGCAGGTACTTTGCAACTGGGGTGTGATGCTAACTGTAGGCATGCTCTGTATGAAGCTCTGTTACTCAAATTGGACTTTAACCTGAGCTTTGTTTTAACACAATCTGACCATAAAGAGCTGACATAATTGAAACTACAACAGGTGAACCTATTTGTGCTGTTGAAACAAGTCCCTTTCAAATAACATTAGGTAGCATAACCAACAGTTACCACACTCACTATTTTAGTTGAAAATCACCTTAACTGGGCCATGTGTTGTTTCAGACATGAAACAGATATATGTAGAACACCCCCAGAATGATGTCTCTGCAAAGTGATCAATATCCCTCAGTTATTTATTTAATCGAAAGCCTGGAGTATTCATATGGAATTAGATTAAATTTTCATTTTGTATTTTACTACAAGTAGTAGGAACACAATAAACACAAACAATTTATACAGTTTATTTTCCTATTTTGCATTTATTGTTTCTGTTTCTTTTGTTTCCTAAGGCCAGACTCATCTCACTGTATTTTGACACAAAGTGCTACCAGGAGGCTTTACTCTTGGGTAAGTGTTTGGGTAACTATTTTTTATAAAACTGACAATCCCACACAAACCCTACTGCCATGATGTGTTTTTGCAGGCTCCCAGTTGCTGCAGGAGTTGAAGAAGTTGGATGACAAGGCTCTGCTGGTGGAGGTGCAGCTCCTAGAGAGTAAGACGTACCACGCACTCAGTAACCTGCCCAAAGCTCGCGCCGCCCTCACCTCAGCCCGGACCACCGCCAACGCCATCTACTGCCCCCCCAAACTACAAGCAGCTCTTGACATGCAGTCAGGTATGGAGCCAGTGCCATGTGTCCGTCAACTAGGAGCATTTTGATACAACGCAGAGCAGAATGACTCTAAATTGTTAAAAAGCTATTGGAAATCTAGACACTACAAATGATAATCCCAGTATAATCCCTCATTCCTCCAGGAGTGGTTCAGTGTAGAGAAGGTTTCAACGGTGGTCATTGGGACTATTGTGTATTGCCAGTCATGCTGAAGCTGAGACAGCCAATACACAATAGAAACATAACGACCCGTAATGTTAGTTAGTAAAATAAGGGCTGGGCAGTTTCACCCTAAAACTCCTCCCTTTGGGGCTGGGCTTTGTTAACTCAGAGTAGGATATATCTAAGGGCCTCTAATCAGTACTATCAAATTGAAAAGGGCTTTTGGATGGAAGCTGAAACATCAATTAGTGTGTGCTTGTGCGTGTGTGTATGTGGTGGAGGGGGGAGTGGAATCACGTGATGACAAACCAACTTTGATCTTTTAGCTGAGTGCTTCCTTCATGGGTCAGTTGTAGGAGAGGGTCAGACCTGTGTCCAGAGATGGTTTTATAAAAGGACACGGTGATGCTGTGGGGATCATCCAGCATCAGTGCCAATGCTAATGATTGCAACGCTTTGTAAAATTATGATGCACAAATAATTTTGTATGTATGTGTATGTCTCCCACCTGCTTGTGACTAAGTGCTCACAGTTCAATTAGATTCTATGTCCTTTTCTGGGAAACTAAAGTAAATACAGTTTCAAACTTCCACCAAACATTACTTCCTCAAACTGTCTCCCCTTATGGCTTCTTGTTGCTCTCCTCGCCTCTGAGCTGAGTTTCACATTGTTTCACGTTGTTTTTTATAAATGTCAAATTGAATGTGACAAGATGCGTATGCACATTTCTGACCTGATTTTGCGCATATGGAGGCTCCAGGTGACCACAGTTGAAACCTCTGCATTCGAAACTACAAAGCATGAACAAGAGTGACCTTGAACTTGAAGAACCAAGGACCAACCAAGTCCAAACATAGTTTACAAATTCATTAATTAATCTGTTATAGCATACAATAAAACATTTTTCTACACTCATTTATCTTGTTGTTTGTCATGATCAGGTGTAATCCATGCAGCTGAGGAGAAGGACTGGAAAACTGCGTACTCTTATTTCTACGAAGCCTTCGAGGGATATGACTCCATTGATAACCCCCGAGCCATCACAGCCCTCAAGTACATGCTGCTGTGTAAAATCATGCTCAACATGTGAGTGTAAACACAAATCACAACATCAAACACAGTACTTGATTCAGAATTAATTATGGGCCAGTTTGATACAGTGATACATTTGATTAGTGAACACCTTGACTATTCTGCTCTGCCTTCCCAGTAACATCAAATTGAGCTTTCTAGCATGTTATAATGTTGCTCCCTTATCAAAAACACGCCTGAAGAGGTTTTAGATGTCATCCATGCATTTTTCAGCGCTATTCTTACCCTCCTTATAGTTAGTCATAATATTCTGTCCAGTGCTCAGCTCACAAGCTTATGTCATCCATGCTCCCACAATTCTTCATAAATGTACCAAAGCATGATACAAAACTATACACAACAACTCGACGAAGTTGATGCGATGTGCAGTAGTTTCAATAGTGGGATGCTCACTGATTGTGTTAGTGCTTTGAAGGGGAATTGACTTAGCATTGAGAGCAAATGGAGGGGTAGACTCAGAGCATCAAAAACAAAAGTGAACTTATAAAACTTGAAAATGCTATAGACACTGAAAACGATGCATTAACATAACAATGAAAGGTAATTGCTTGCACATAAAATATTTAGATTCACCATGTTACCCCAATACCCCATAGATATAAAATATCCCCTCTTTAAATGATACTCACAGCGTTTTTGTTATTTCTTTTTATTTAAATTATCTTTCTTTTTATGCTGTTTCATCTTGGTTAACACATGTGCAGGCGTGAACAGTCAATAAGAAATCTGAATTCACATCAGATTTTGCTCTTTACATGGCATCATAGTTGCGTACATGTAAAGAAACTGACAGTGTCTAAGCCTTTGTGTATTTTGCCTTCTTATTGTACATCCATGTGTGTACTAGATGTGCTAAAATTAGTCAAGTGTAGGTGGGAGCTTGTTTCTCGGGGACTTAACTGTGTGATTTGTGTGTTTCAGGCCTGAGGACGTACAAGCGCTCATCAGTGGAAAGCTGGCTCTGCGCTACGCTGGCAGACAGGTAGTGCTTTCAAAAAGGGCACACAGAGAATGGGGCAATGCAAAAAATATCAGTACTGAATATTGTTATCAAGCATCAATATCAGCCAAAAATCATAACGATATCAGCTGACACAGATACTGGAACTGATATATCGCCCACAGCAACTACTAGAGTACTCAGAATGCCAATAACATCTTGGGGTGGTACTTGCTGAGAAAAAATTTGAAAACCACTTATTTAGTCATTTTTGGAGAGTTGATCATTATTAGGTTTTAAGAAACTGAATTTTTTTTCTTCTCCTCAGACAGACTCCCTCAAATGTGTAGCACTGGCCAGCAAAAAACGGTCCCTGGCAGACTTCGAAAAGGTTGGTACTGTGTGTAATAACCATCAATATTAGGTCTTGGTTTAGAGCTCTGTGTTTTTTTTCTGATGCAGGCATTAACAGATTACAAAGCAGAGCTGAGAGACGACCCCATCATCAGTACACACCTGACCAAACTGTACGACAAGCTGCTGGAGCAGAACCTGATCAGAGTCATCGAGCCCTTCTCAAGAGTGCAGGTACATAATCTCTTATCATAAAAGTGTGTAGAGAAAACAACTTAAACAAGCCTGGTCATTAAGGAGAAAATGTTAAGTTTGTTTAGTGGTATTGCCCTCTTTCTGGTGTTGCCCAGTCGTCATTGGGCATCAACTGCTAGTCTTCTGTCAGTGAAGGCATTTTACTGGACCAGAAGTCAGACTTTGAAGGAAAAATGTTACTATTCTCATTGCTGATTAAAATCTTGAAATCGAGATTTGACAATTTGAAGAAAAAAATTGTTGGCCATAGTTTAAGAAAAGCATATATAAAGGAAGGAATAGAGCTGGGTGTTTGCTGTGGATACAATTTGACTGTGGAAGTGGTTAATGGATTTAAAACTCTTCTACCTATTGCATAACAGTGTCAGGAAATTTTAAATGTGTCATTTCTGAGCACTCAGAAAAGACAACTTTGTAAATGGCTGACAAAAAAAAGTGTGAATGCAGCAAAATAAAATGTTAAATGTTTCTTTGCATGTCGTTAATCATGCACTCCCAACCGTCGCTCTCCTGTGTGCATTCTGTGATCACTGTTGACATGTCTTTTAACCTTGAATGCATAAGCTTAATGTTTGTGCTTGTTTGTTCTCCCAGATATCACACATCTCTTCCCTCATCAAGCTTTCTAAGGTACCACAAATCAGTTGTGTCATAATTGGTAATACTGAGCAGCAGTAAAACTTGTACTGTTTAACTTTTGCTGTTTTAGGGAGATGTGGAACGGAAATTATCACAGATGATTTTAGACCAAAAATTTCATGGTAAGTTTTTTTTTTTTTTGCTGCCCATGTGCACTCAATAGATCTAAAACTGTGAATCTTAGTCTTACTTTATACCTTGTCAGGTATTCTGGACCAAGGGGAAGGCGTGCTGATCGTGTTTGAAGAACCAGTCGTGGACAAAACATATGAGGCAGCTCTGGAGACCATTCAGAACATGAGTAAAGTGGTGGACTCACTGTACAACAAAGCTAAGAAGCTCTCATAGGAGGTAGTGCTTTCAATCGTACCAAGTCCAATCAGTAATCATAACTCATAAATCTTGTTTAGAATGTACTCATGAAATTGTGCCATTGTGTCAACAAAATGCAGTCTTGTGCATTGTGTTTTTTATTTTCAACCAAATAAAGGTTGAAATAAAATACAGAGGCTGAAGGCTTCTAGTTCAATGAAAATCAGAAATTGTTTGTCTCTTAAAATCTGCATATTCCCACACATGATTCTGAGAATCAGAATGTGATTACAAATTGTGATGGAACTATTTCAATAGTCAACTAGTGCTTTTTCCAGTGAATTTTGCAGCTCTGCTGTCCTAATGTAGACATTCATACTGGATCATGTTAATACTTAGTTGAAGGCTTTCTTATCATTATGGTCTGGACTATATCTACTTTACTCTCAATTCAATACTTTTTTTCACAGTTCTATATTATAGTCTCACACATACACAAGTGTATACTGTCATTTGACATATTTTATGTATGCCAATCTTTACGTTCACAAATAGCTGGGTATTTGAATCATCTAAATGTGAGTCTCTCTTGTGTTGCTGCAGTGCCTGAACCAACCAGTCCTCCTGTTCTCTGCAGTGTGGGCCAGTTGGATCTATGCTGAGTGACCGCTCACTGGAACACTGAAAAAGGAAAGGGGGCCAGGGGACGATCACAAACACTGTCCAGCCCAGCAGGCAAAGAAGACCCATGGATGCAGCAGCCAAGTCTGCGGGAGTGTGGGCTCCCCTTTCCTCCCACTGCTGTCCTCCACCCCCATCTTGTCCCACTGTCTCCTCCTCACAGTCTAACTGAGGTGACGCGCACAGTGCCTCCTTATGGACAAACATGAGCACTGCAGATGTGTCTAAATGGGACACACCACCTATTTTTCCCAATAGTTTCCCTCCCTTCTCTGCGCTGGCCATCAGGGAATATTGTAATATACCAGTAAAGATGCATATTCACTTCAGTACTTCTACATATGTAATATAAAGAATCATGCTAAGTCTGCTGCAGTTGTCTTAAAAAGGGTTTACAAGTTGGCTAATTGTCAAATCAGCTAGTTCAAATTGCCAACTTTAAGAGATTGTTAAAAATTACCTACCTTCAGCCATGACTTTTGACGTCCATATGAATACAAATTGTTTTTCATTGCATTCTGGGAAATTCTGGACAAGTCTCGGGACCACACCATGAAGATCTTGCAGCCTGAATGTCCACTCGTTTGTATATACTGTAATTATCAAGTTCCTTTCTTGTACACAGCTGTTTTTTTAATAAATCAAAAACAGTAATGCTTGAGAAGTGTTGGTCACACCAAGTGCTTTTGATGCTTAACTGTGGACTAATCATGGGATCACCGGCTTGTGAGGACAATGGCCAAGTTGCACTGAAAGTTTTTTGTCAATTTCCAGTAATTATTTTGAAAGGACTAACCAGTTTACCTTCAATAAAAAGTATAAACAGAATTAAAACAATTCATGAAACAGTGTTTTTACTGCATGTACTGGCATAGCTTTTATTGATAATATTGTATTTAAATATGTGAGATCTGGGTCAGGAAGAGGAACGTGTGTCCTCACTTTAACATGGAAGTGAATGTGTTTCCTCCTCTACCTGACTGAAGAAGCCTCAGTAGGACTGGCACAGTGCCATTCTGAAACCAACAAACCAGGCTCCACATCATCTTCCATTCAGCTAAAACTGTCTGCTACACAAGTAAAAAAAAAAAAAAAAAAAAAAACTCACTGGGAAACTACTTTGCGAGCACTGAAATGATGTGGTTCACACTTCTGAAGGATATATTGTGCAGAGGTTTAGGCTGCTGCTGTTGTCCAGAAAGTGGATTGGGAAATTTCGAAGTCATATTAGTATCAACACCGACTATAGGCCCACTGGAGGATTTTTTTTAATACATGATGCAACCTATGTTAATCCAGATCCAGATCTAATTTGCTAAAAATGTTAGAGGTACTATTTTGGCAAATAATGTGGGCCCTATTGTGAACTGAAGTTGACTGTTTACCTCATATTACCTCGGGGTGTTTTAATGAAGCCAAAACAGCCTATTTCCTCTTTTGTTTTTGCCTGCCGTTGATTGAGATAGGCCTAGGCACACTCATATCCTTGACTCATATCCGTGGCGTGTCAAACTTACTCAGGTTAACCCCCCAGGCTGAGCGTAAACTTTACAGCGGGCTTTCTGTGGCCCGCGGCGTGGGTGAAGCATAAGACCAGGTAAACACAGGTAAAGCTCAGAAGCATCGAAGTTCAGCTAAACAACTGTGGCACATGGTTCATTTGGACAAACTGACAGGAACTATCCCAACACAACAGTATGTATAACTATTGTTTTGATTGAAAAGAAAAGAGTTGAGGTGGGCTTATAGCCAATACAGTGACTGAAGTCTGGGGCATGTTGCCAAGACTCTGGAGGAGGCGTAGTGGAGGTTTGTGTGGGAAGAAGCGGGGAGCCAGACAGGCGACAGTGAGCGCTGCGTTGGCCTCGGGGCAGAGGTAGGGAGAAGGGCGACAGCCAATGAGAAGGAGCCGTGCACTCCCTCTCTCCTGGTCGGCCTGGTTCGGCTTGGCGCGCCCTGTAATTAGGAGCTCCAGTTGGGCTGGGCGACGCCACCGTGGACAGCGTCGAGGCGCTTTGGGAACTCATCCACACTGTGCCGTACTCGGTACAACTCCAGAGCGCAGCAACATGAATGGCCAAGCGTCACCTGTGTACGAGGAGAAGAAGCCCTCACTACCTGAGCTCGGAAGCTCCATCTCGGGCTCTGCAAAAGAATCCTCTTCGGCACAAGAGTCCTCATCGGCGGATTTCTACAGCAGCCAGAGCGCTCAGGATTTCTACTCCAGCGCGCAACAGGCATACACAGCCCAGCACATGAACCCATACGCGTACCACCACTACAACCTGAACGGCATGGCTGCAGGTACCGGGTACCCCGTGGGCAAGACAGAGTACCCGTACCCCCACACAGCTTACAGGGAGCACAGTGCGTTCAGCAGAGACATACAGGAGAGCGGTGAGTACACGACCGACCACTTGCACAGTTACATTCATAGACTTATGGAAATTAACATTAAATCAAGTTTGGCACAAGAATGAGTCAGAGCGCACTGACCACCTGAGGCTTCTTGTCAGAGCTCATGTCTCGCCAAACTGGGGTAAGTCGGTAATTGTATGGGAGTTTTACGCACAGTATAGGCTGCAGACTGCTACGTAGGCCTAATTGTATGTTAGGTCTTGTGCTTCAACAGAAGTCATCTTTATTAAGTTCCCATTGGATCAAACTGTAATTCGTGCCCGTTTCACGTTTACTCTGTTATTGTTTTGCAAGCACAACATATGTCATATGTTATTTTGAATCTCACAAATCCATGTTCACTGCCCTATAATATTTGCAAATTATAAGCAATGCTAAGATGACCCTTAAAACCTTTAAAATGTTTGACCTAATGTTGTGTTTGGTGTTATTTGCACAGGAGGAATCCTGTAGACAAGTGGTTCCCAAACTCTTTTTAGTTGTATATTTCCAGACACTTTTGATGGTCTGTTGTGCATCTGCTTAAATACACAGAAGGATGTCTGTGGACGCTGTACACAACATAGGCCTAGTTATAATATTATTTTTTAATTCAATTTCTTAAAAATAAAATAAAATCTTTTCCCTCCCCCTAAATCTCTCCTTACGTATCCTCTTCACTGTTGTTTGGACGTACTGATAGTTTGAGAACCACTAATGTTGTGTATTTACTTACCTTTTGATGTTATGCTGTGGTAAACCATAACCCTTTCCTTCTTTGTTACTACTTGATGCTGTTTTGAGCATTTTGAGCAGATTTACCAACTTTAATAGTAGCAGCAATTGTTTTAAGCCTTATTTAAACTGCCACACTCTCACTGTATTGTTGTGCCCCCTGGTGGTACATGTAGCCTGTGCTTTCATGGATTTATCTCACCTTAAACTGAGATGACATTAGCTGCTATGGAAGACAAAAATCTGGCAACCCAAGGCAACAAGCTAATTTAGTTTCTCATTGTTTAAATGTTTTGAGGACCTAAATAAAACACAACACTTTTTTCCCCAATTATGTATACAATTATTTATGTATGTATACAATTGTTGTCAGTAAAATCTATTATTTTCAATACTCAGAGAACAGTTAGGCTAATGGCAATTATTAAATTGGTCAGTTGTACACATTTCTAACATTCCTACTAACTTTAAATCATCAGTTACTTTTTTTTTGTCTATACATAAGTTTGGCAAAGACGTCCAGCCATTTAAACAGCCCAAACAAACATTTGACTGAATATCTGATGTATAAGTTTATAATGGAAATAGACGTGGCTTCCAAAGCACAATAATGCTCAGATCAGTGTTTGCAGGTACCAGCGGGAGTGGAGCATGATTATTTAAAATACATAACACAGTTACAAGCTAAGAAGAATTTCAAGCTTTTTAAATAAAACGATGCAAAAAGACAACCCCATTCAACAAAAACACAACTCTCAGAATAATTTAGATGAGTAACCACAACATTATAACAGGTAAAAAAATAAATTCTATAAATAAAATCACTATTAAGCCCCTACAAACTGCATTTGAAGAACTCTTTGCAGTGTCACTGATTTAAAGCCACTGTAACTTTTTCTAGTGTAGGGTTCTATTACTTTGCCGATAGTGTACAGTATTAAACGAAACTATCTCCGTGGCGATGAGCAGATAATGCATACAGGCTGAGATAAGGTCAGATCCGTGGAGAAGTGATGTCCCTCACAGTTTAGAATGCATGTTTCTTCAGTGTATTTTTGAGTAATAAAACAGCTGTAATTGAGTAAATGTGAGCAAAATAAGCTTAATGCTATACTTCAGAATATTCCAGGCAAAGCAAAAACAGGTGTTGGATAGTAATAGGCCTATATATCATGCTGATATTTTGACTTTTTACCATACTGGCAGTCCTTAAATCTGCAGCATGATCCGATATGTTGTTTGGGCCAAACAGCTGCATAAAGAAGACACAAAACATTATCTGAACACTTCAGTGCCAAACGTGCACAGCAAAAATGTGATTACGCTGTTCTTCTGTAGGTCTGTGGTTAAAAAGATTGAGAAAGAGTTTGTAGTACAATTAAATTACGTAACATGCTGAAAATAATAAAAATGGACCCTACCCGTACATATCAGCTCAAAAATATTGCAGAGCTTATTGGCCATCGGTTGCTCTGGATTCTAAACAATCAGTATCAGGCATGAAAAAAAAAATCTAGTGTCTAGTGTCGGACCCCCTAACAAAAAGTTACATAGTGCACCTTTAAGCACTGATAACATTGCCATGTGCAGCTCTGTACATAGAGAAGGAAGTGAGAATACACATGTTTATTCTTGAATAGTTCCTTGTTAGAAAGTAGAGTGACTAGCAGAGCATGTGTAAATGTTTTTGTGTAGATAATTAGGTCATAGCATTTAGGTGACCGCCATTTAAAGATGCATTGTGTCACTTTTCTGGAGTAGAGGCTTGTTTCTACGGATCTACAGTATTATTGCTCTGCCTGGAAAGTTCCACAGTGTGACATTAAATAGCTCTACCTTAGATTTATTCAATTACAGTGGCTTTATTGCTGAAAAATGTGAGCGGGGTCGCCTCTCCGCAGAGCTGACCTGTAACTTGGCCTGGTTTGGTCTTCATGAAGATAAATTGTAATACCATACTGTGAAATATTCCAGACAAAGCAATAACATCCCCACGGATAAAAGCATTTGACGGACCCTCCACCAGAAAAGTTTCACGATGCACCTTTAAAGTTCATTTGAGGACTTTTTCTTCCCTCATGACATAAACAATGTTCTATAAGACCATGTATTTAGAAAAAAGTTTATGCCTATGAATTTTTAAAAAGAATTACAAAAGATGATATTTTATTTGCATATTTCTATTTTCTGTGTCAAATTGGGTGAGCATGTGTAAAGTGAACGTCTCTAAACCAGCTCGGCGACTGTTTTGTGAAATTCCTGTGAGCAGTGGAGTTGGAAAGGGCCTGGGGGACTTTGGCCTGTAGCCACGAAACATCAGGTGTCACGGCATGTCAGTCAGCCTTGGCCTTTGAATCATCTAACAGCGACGGCTCCTTATCACGCAATGCTCCTCCAGGCCCCGCCCACCTCCTCCTGCACGCCACGCCGCTCACAGTAAACAGTAAACAGCAAACAAGTGCCTCCTGATAGCACGCTCTCCATAAAGATAGGAGGTGTGCAGGTTAGATATACACACCGTGCATGTGGGCTGGGGCACTGTCAGCTATGCTCTTACTTTTGAAATTTAACTATTTATTTATTTTATTTTTTAAATGAACTCTCTTGAAATGAATACATGTTAGTTTAAAGGATTCATATTACTCTATTTTCTGATTTTTGTTGTGTTGTTTCCTCATCACAAATCTACCTCGAGTTGTGTTTTGTTTCATTCACATGTTTAAAATACAAACCATGCATATTTAGAGTGCTTCTCTCAAACTGAAAAAAACCTCAATTCCACCTTGTGATGTCATGTGGTAATACAGAAAGTGCTCCATTGTGTTTTTAAACTCCAAACACCTTCACTAGAATCATTTGGTTGAATTCAGTCCTGGAAAAAACAATGTCTAGTGAATAAAAGGTAAAAGGAGCTGTTAACTTGGAAAATACCACTTCATACTTCACAAGGTGGAACTGAGTATTTTGAGCTTTAAAGATATGGATACACTAATAATAAAGGATTACTCAAATATATGTGAATGAACCAAAATACAAGTACAGGTATGTTTTGAGGAGGTAATAATGTTCTAAGATGCTCACAAGAGTCAATTTTGCATAATATAGGACCTTTAAATAAAAGCATTAGACAGGAAGCAAATCTTCGTTACTTGAAATGTCAGACATCTCTTTACAGTACAGCACCAGTAGGTAGTTGAAGTCCCAGTTAAGATCCCAAGTGGGCGTAGGGTTTAGGAGCGGCCCTGCAGGCTACATGAAAAGCACCTATAAATCTCTGTCTGTGCTCGACTGTGGGACGCTCAGACCTAAATTATAAGCTCCCAGTGCTGGCGGAATTTCTTTGAAATTTTGGGGTTGCAGCAGCCACCGCTATTTTTGTCCTACAACTTCACACAAAGTGGTCTTTTGAAGCCCTGCGCAAACTCACAGTAAAAAAAAAATAAACGTTATTTCTGGAGTTTGGAGTTAGCATATTTAAAGCATAGCGCACCCCTCCATGAGTGACAGTAAAAATAATACGTGTTAGAGTATTGAATTTGAATGAGGCAAAAATGTAGATCTGTTTTGTAGATCTAAATGCTCAGGACAATAACATTTCAAATTGTCTTTTTACTGTTGATCAAGCTGTTTGTATCAACAATATTGTGACTAAAATTATTTTGTTGTAAATTTGCCAACACGAGTGAGATGTTCATAGAAATGTCACAGTTTATACATATAACCTTCTTGTCTCATATAATATCACTTATTTATATTATCATTTATTTATGTATTTACATGATTTAATCAGTGTGTCAGCAGTTTCAATAAGAATATCAAACATAACATAAAGATGCTTCACAATAATTAACATTAGCTAGATTTCATCTGATGCCCTAGATTTTTTTTTACTTGTACATATACATTTATATAATTATGTCTTATTTGACACCAGTCTCTTGCAGCTTTTACTACTATTACCATTTATATTGTTGCTCTTTGTTATTGTATTATATTGTGATATGTGTCCAAATAAGTTTAAGACAACAACAGACATGTCACTTCATGTTAGTAGACATTAAAGATCTTCTTTCCTGATTCTTGTGCCCAGTGAAAGAGGAGCCGGATATGGAGGTGCGGATGGTGAATGGGAAGCCCAAGAAGGTGAGGAAGCCACGGACCATCTACTCCAGTTACCAGCTGGCCGTGCTCCAGAGGCGCTTCCAGACCGCACAGTACCTGGCTCTACCGGAGCGAGCGGAGCTGGCCGCACAGCTGGGGCTCACACAGACACAGGTACGCTTCTCTGTGCACTGCTGACCACCACACGGACGAGACGGGGCAATGTAACAACAGCTAAACATGTACTGTGTCATATTAAAGTACATTTTAATGTGGAACAGACTTGGTAACTGCTCTACATATTTGAATATTTGGACACAAACACCTCCCAGTTAGATTTAGTCTCAGTTTAATGGCAGTTTTGATGTCTTTCATGTTTGAACACTGTCTAACTCACAAAGACAATGCAAAATATTTTAGACACAATGATCAAATATACATGTATGAAGTTAATTGTTTTTGTGATGTAATTTAAACATTTCATGAATATTTGAAATAATACAAATTGAGTCATCTAATCATAATAACATCTTATACTGGCACTCGTGGTATGCCATTGTTTGTTTTTCTTTCTTTTTAACACTTTCTACATTTTATAATACATACAGACAACATCAAATATATGTAGCAAAACTAATATATTTTTAAATATTATAATTTAATTTATATTCAAATCTTCAAAGTAGTGCTTTGTTGAAAAATATTTAGTAAAGTTATTATTTTCTTTGCTACATAATTCCATATATCTTGCTATATATATTTGATGTCTTACATATCAAATGTAGAAAAGTAGTAAAACTTCAAAAACTGTATGTATATATGTATGTATGTATAATGAGTACTTTGACTGCAATTAACCTTCACTTCAAACTAATTAAGACTTTAGATTCAAGACTATATGTCTATAATTACATGGTTATATAACGCACTCACAGAATAATATAAAATCTGCTCAGCTAAAGTAACGATCCGTTTGATGAGTTGTTGGACAATTCATGGGTCTGTTCTGTGCGGCTAAATTACATGTACTACTGCAGTAATTCTAGAATAGAAAATGAACGTGAAGCGTGGATGAAGTGTAAATCCACACGGTGCCTAAGTGTGGTGAGGGAGTAGTTTACACAGCACACTCTGCAGATTTACTGTGGTGTGAATGATCCGCTCAGGTGATAACAGATACAGCCTCGTGCCACTGGGTTTTCTGCTCCACACCTGTAATTTATGGCTGGCTGTTCCACTTGACTTCCACGTGTTAACTCCAGAAACAACAGCCTTCACATTACAATGCAGGCCCATATTTGTATTGTCTATGAGAGTGCTTTCTCACAATAACAGCACTAATATATCATTATCTCTTTGTCAGCGGCATAAGGCATTTAATCTTGCATTTGAAATGATGGCGTTAAAGTCAATAGCAGATTTTCATTGAGGAAGGAAGTGTGTGAAACAGAAAATGGCGGCAATTGTAATCTAATCTATGTATTTAAAGTAAATGTGAATTTCATCACTTTTTAACCCGAAAACCCGAAATAATGTTATTCTGGTCATTATTACCATTATATCATTACCATTACAATAAAAGTATAATGTTAATCAAAGATATTGAATTATTGTGAAATTACCAGAGGAAACAGTTATTTTCGTATCAATTATTAATCACAAGATTCAGCTGGGTCTATTTTTAAGGAGAAGTATTATGGAAAATTGATTTATTTATTCATTTTAGCTTTCTACCATGTTATAATCATGTTTCCTCATCAAAAACAAGTCTAAAGCGGTCTTAAATATCATCCATGTATGTTTGAGTAATTTAGTGATCTCTCCTGAGCCCTATTTAAACCTAGCCAGGCTGGCACCATCTAGGGCCTCCGCTCAATTTCATTTCTCTCCAGTGACTAGGTCAAGAATCGGAATACACTAGACCGTTCGCAAAAACCGCGGAAGTGCGACGACTCCCGAGATCGACGACTTAAAGCCGGAACAAAGAGAATGTTTGATGAATTTTATCAAGGGGAAAGACATTATTGCCCTTCCTTCAGAATTTGGGAAAAGCTCAATATACCAGTTAACCCGGTTAGTGGCACATTACATATGTCACACAGCAATTGGTTAAATGAAAAAAAGTACCCTTCTACCATCAACTGAATGAATCCTAATGCTGCGAGGTCAGACGGTTTTTTACAAAGTGAAACCGGCTGATGAATCAGGTTAATTTAAACCCTCCACACGTCAATTCTCCATAAATATACAAAAGCATGATACAAAATTCTGCAACTTCACAAATCTAATGTGATTTGCAATAGTTTCATTAGCGGGATGCTGATTTTGTTGTTACGGTGTCCAGAAGAATGAGTGACAACACAGGCTCAGACTCAGAGCTTCAAAAACAAAACTGAAACTTATAAAACTTGTTAGTAAGAAAAATTTAATACCCCCTTGTTAATGTTAGTTTCATTTAGTTATGTGATCATTTTTATCTTAACAATGATAAAAGAGACATCAGGTTATTACATTAAGCTTAATATTTTTGTCTGTTGTTGTAGGTGAAAATTTGGTTCCAGAATCGCCGCTCTAAGTTTAAGAAGCTCTACAAGAATGGCGAGTTCCCCCTGGGAGACATGCCTCTGGAACACAGCCCCGAAGCCAGTGACTCCATGGCCTGCAACTCGCCTCCCTCTCCTGCAGTGTGGGACAACAACAGCAACAACAACAACAACAACAGCAATACAATCAGCAGTAGCAACAGCAGCACAAACAGCGGGGGCGGAGCTAAGAATAACAGCGTGTTGGATCCCACCAGCAGGGGGCAGCCTCCCTTTCAGCCGCCGTTGGAGTCTCCAGCTCCGTACATGGGCGAGTACAGCCATCCGAACTGGTACCAGCAGGCGGGGGTGCAGATAGGCATGGGTCAGCCAGGAACGATGCACCTCAGCCCGGCGTCCTCAGCGGCGACGTCGGCCTCTCAGAGCGTGGTGGGTGCTGTTTACTGACTTGAGATGGAGGAGGCAACCAAAGGCATTAAAAACTGATAAAGGATTCTATTTTTTGTTTTATATTTAATATTTTAAAACAGCATATTTATATAGTTTGCCTTTTTCTACTACTGAGATTTTGTAGATGGACTCACTCACTCTAAGCCCGCGATAAAAAGCAAAGGGCAATGAAAGACTGAAAATTACTGTACCAAAGATAACTGTGCCTTCCAATCATAGACTGTATAAAGTGCACACAAACACCAGGATCACGTAGAGCGGGTTAATACAAACATTTTAAGACCAAAATGACAAGGCTCACTGCAGCAGTTACAGAGACAGGAGTGTCAATGTAAAGTCAACTGGAGCCAGAGTCAGTGGAGCCGGAAGCGCCCCCACAATCACTTCCTATTTGGAATGCAGCGGCTTGTAGGTTGTGATTTATATATTATACAGTTTATGCTTCCAATACACCTTAGCATACAAGTACAGCTATTGTTTACTGTAGCATAAGACAAGTAGGCTACTTGTTCTGTCTCTTTCTCACACCGGGGCATTTGTATGTGAATATATTTCCCTGTATTTATTTAAACTTTTAAGGGTGCTCAAACACAACTGTAATTTATATTAGAGGGGGCATGTGAGGCTTTTGCCCCTGGGCCCTTAAATTTCATTGGACGGGCCTGAGTGCAAATATTATGTTAGTTACATAATTTCCAAATGAACACACTTTTTCCTCTTTTAACAGCTTCACAGAAACACGTTTAACCTGTTCAACAAACTAGTTTAATAGCAGTAGCTTTGTGAGAGAGCGAAGATGCTTCTTGGGGTTAAGCCAGGCCATGTCACGATTAAATACATTTATTGACTTCTGAATTGGTTCTACTTAAATGTAATATCAGTTCGCAAAACAGGATCCAACGTGCCTCTGCTTTATAGAAAAATACTCTTCTGGAATCAAAAGACCATGTGACATGTGGATTTTCAACTCTAAATATTGATTAAAAACATTATTTAAAACATGTTTATGTTTGACTGATATTTGGCTGTCGTGTCCAGATTTCCAGATTGCTCCATGCATTTGTTTCATTTGGGAGTTGAGATTGTTGTTGAGCACAAGTTTAATTAACAACAAGTGTTTTTGATTTTAAAGTTAAATTGCCACTTTATTTTGTCAAAACTGGGGTAGCTAAGTTTCAATTTGCGAAAGGAGGAAGTATCGAAATCTACTTGTTCCCAGCTCGCGCAAGCTCTTTGGCACATCGCTAGTATTCACATGCATATATTTTCTGGTGCGTGCACAGCTTTAGAGCAGCTTTTAAATGGCGAGAGGAAGCAGGAGTGGACCGCCAGTGCACAGTCAATCAGTTCTCTCTTGTGTTATATTGTTTTTTTATGGCAGTAAAATGGCTTCAACAACCTGTATGGATATATGCAAAAGGAAAAGCCAAAAAGACATCACACAACTCAAAAAATGTAGTGGGCACCATGTTAAACTACAGAGAAACAAGCAGTTTTTCCAGCTTGTTTGGCCTCTACAAGTACAATGAAATATCACATTGATACTGTAACATCGCATTAAAACCAGGTTTAACATTTGCAATAGTTGAGAACCACTGCGATAACTTGTATTGTGTGAAGTAGAAAATTGTACATATTGTATTGTATTAGCAAAAGTGTACTCAGGTCTTCTTTATTTACAAGTGCCTTGATGGAGTTGGTGGTGAAAATAAAAGGTTGACTCTGCTGGTGTCTTCTTGCCTTCTTGTGCGGTGACTCATGGCAGGTAGGTTGCACCCATCTGGTCCAGAGCAGACAGCGGCAGACTGTTTGGAGACACAGTGCAGTAATAACACACGCGGCTCTCCGGCGCTTTCATGTGGCCTACAGTGGGAGAGGAGAGGAGTGTGTGCATGACAAACAAACCTTCACCCAAAAGAGACACCGTGACAACTCAGACAAACACCCTGTTGCTACAAATACTCGAAAGGATCAGATTGCATCAGGTAAAATCATATCAGAGCACATTTTTATTCAGGCCAGCTTTAAAATACCTTTGCATTTTGCAGTTAGGTTTTATAACTCTTGACTTATGTATTCTATTTAGCACTTCCAGTTACACAGAGAATGATGTCTATCGCCCTCTACTGGCAACACTGGAATTGAATTATGTTTAAATGCTATAAGCAGCACTGCAAATACTAAGACGACACCAATAGAAATGTGAGTTCAGTTGCTTGTTGGTACTTCAGCCAAGAGTTGTGTTGTTTGTAAAAACTGTTGCGAACAAGACTGGATCAAAATACTAACTCGAACCACAGGGTGTCAGTAAGGAGATAACATAATGGTGTATCACAATAATTTATTGCAGGGTGTTTGTTGCAAACAAACAGCAAAAAATATTTAACTGTTACAGAAAATGTAACAGCTTTTCTCACCTGGGATCACAGCATTTAGTTCTTTAATCAGAAATCCATGCTGTCACAGTACCCTCTGTATTTCGGTTTTCATTTGAAAAAGTCCAAAAGGGCATCTACTGTGATGCCATATAAAAACAGTTTACTTTCACTGGGTGAAGTGATCAAGGTATAACTTCAACCATAAATAACTGTGGACAAGGCATTTTCACACTGCTCTTGATGTGTCCGTTAGTGCAAATTTCCTTAACATGTTTTTGACACATGTCAGAAAAGCCTGGGCCCGTTTAGAGGTGTCCTGCTCCAGGCGTTCACAGGAGCTCAGGTTTATAAAAGACACATCCACCGCTCACTTATCTCTGAGAATGATATCCAATCTCAAGTGTAAGGATGTAATATTGGTATATGGTCAGGATATGGTTATTAACAAGTCATTTTCAGTTTATTAATTAACTCATTCTAAGTTACTCTGCAGGACTAATCTCAGCAGCACTGTAGATGACTTATAGCTATAAAATAAGACATCTTGCTCTTCCCTTGAGCCTGCAGCCCCTCCAGGCTTCAGGGGCACATCCAGGGCGTGTATCCCAAATCACAGCCTCGTCTCTGGGACATCTTCACTGTTTGTTTAGGCTCTTGCCTTCCTGTGCTGAGCCCTCCGCTTCCAGGTGTCACAGAAGAATGCATGCGAACATCAGAGGAGACAGGCAGACGGCAAAACATCAACATGTAGCGACCTGTGACAGCACCTACAACAGCCAAATGGTTTTACACACACATTCTGGTTTAAATTGGCATTATCGCCTGTATTGAACAGGACAACGTTGAGTTATGTGGGAAACAGTGTAGATTAGGCAAGTTCTTGGGCGTGAGGGGTGAACTGAGGTTACAGTGTGGCATTGGATGGCAAGATGAGGCGATGACATGAGATGGCGAGATGTGAGCGGAGAGGAGCACTCAGCGGCGGAAGGATGGTTTGTGAGAGCGTCCTGAAAGATTGGGAGCTGACGTTACTTTCCCTGCCTGCAGCTATGGTCTGCTCACTGCACATTATGAAGACACAAGTTTGATCTCCACAGGTCCTATAATGATGGTTCTAGGACTTGACAGAAATCTAGACCGGACTAGTACTCTGCAAAAAGTAACTGATTTGACTCCAAAGCCCTGTCAGCATTGATCATAATCTGCGGTGAAAATGTAAAGATAAATGAATTTATGCAATACAAACACAGTGAAATGACCAATGAAAAGATGGTGCACAGTTAGGTCATGATAATTGTCATACTGACTTGTTCTGGTGGGAACATTTTTGTTATTTTTCTCTGCTATAATGAAATTTTAGTTGTAGAAAGTTAAATTATGAACCTTTAGGAGTCATTATAGATACAAATTAACAAGTGTTGCAGTCGGCTTTTTATTTACTGCAGCTCAATTTTGAACATTTAGGACACTTTTTGGTGGATCATTTTGCCTTATGATTTGGTTTTATCATTCATATTACTTACACTTCAAAATTTGTTATTGTGACAGGCCTTTTTACAATAAAAGTGAAATTCCTAATTGGCTGTTGGGAAAAGACTGGTCACCGAGTTTAGTGCCTCACTCATTAATTCTATGGAAATCTGTTCTGTTTTTTAGTCTCGTGACAGGTTTTCCTGCCTTTTTTCCTCATAAGCACAAATGGATAAAGTCAGATTATGTGTGTCACTGATGGGCTAATCCACCTGTCAATCACACTCAGCTGAACTGTAAGAATCAGCAGTGACAAAACTAACACCTTTGTAAAGTATTGGAGTAAAGTGTGTATTTTAGAGGCATTCTTGTGTTGCAAGAACCTAACTTTATGTGAATATTTATCTGTAAAATAGTCGAGAACTAGGCAGGCTGGTGCCACTTAGTGCCAGCGCACAATTTCATTTCTCTCCAGCGACTAAATCAGGAATTGTAATGCACTAGACGGTTTGCAAAAACCCCAGAAGTGCACACATGCTGTTTTGGCAACAATTCCCGAGATCGAGGATTTAAAGCCAGAACAAAGAGAATGTTTGGTGAATTTTATCAAGGGGAAAGACGTTATTTCCCTTCTTCCTAGGGGATTTGGGAAAAGCTTAATATAGCGGTGCATTACATACGTCACGACCACATAGTAGTGATTGGTTAAATTAAAAAAGTACCCGCCTACCATCGAGCAAACTAATTATAATGCTGAGAGGTCAGACAGTTTCCACAAAGTGAAACTGGCTGATGAATCAGGCTAGGTGAGAACTGCCTTCAGATAGACAAAACTTTACAGAAACAAACCAACCTGACAGTTGATTACATAACCCAACTCCTATATTTTGTACCCACATCAACATATAATATATCCAGACTTCAGCCGTACATAAAACTCAGGCAACTACTCATCCACCCAAGAGATAAACTAGATAAATTGGAACACAAATGAGATGACATATACGAAATACCCTGCATGTCTAAACCATACATCGGGGAAACAGGGAGGTGTTCTATGCATGAATAAAGGAACATAGAACAGAATGTGAGAAAGAAACAGCGAAGGTGTGTACATAAGCAACAAAACACAAAGAAGAACAGAAACAACACAAATGGGCCAATTCTGAGCACTGAAATGAGAGAACCGCATTATGGACTGGGACAGAGCAAACATCATTGGGACAGACGACAATAAACATCATCACTGCATTAAAATACAGAAACGTGTCGATAGGAGTTTAAACTGGGACGAGGGGGCCTTTTCACTGTCGCACACCTGGGATACTGTCCTGCAGAAGTCAGACTGCAGATGGCGCTGTCGTCCTGCCTCCACCGGTAGGAAAACAGCACCAAAACCTGTTAAAATCAACTGATCGGACACGTCACAGCAACATCACGTGACCACTCGGAGGAAGACCGCTAGTGATCAGCTGAAATTGTCAGGTATGAAAACAAACTAAACCTTGGTCTGAACAAATAATCTATTCAAATAAATTATCGCAACACCAGATGAATGTCATTAGACTAAAACTGATTTGAAGAAACAATCACTGAATACATTTTTAAATATAATTCTAATATCAGCTTTATTTTCACTACAATACCCAAACCCCAGCATGTCTCTGCACAGCTCTATAAAGCCTTCACACAGGAGACCAGAGTCCTGCAGTATCTCAGTTACACTTTAAATCGGTCCATGCGTGTGCACTGGCTCCACATGGCTCCACTTTAACAAGCTAATGTAAAACAACTCCCGCTGTTCACGACTTGTTCTCATTAATGTGTTTCATTTATATATTTATTTATTAGGTTTTAAGGACAGGCCCTTACTCTCACTCGGTTTTCTTTCCTCAGACAAACACAGAAACTGATCTCTGTCCAGTAGCTACTTCTCAGCACTTTTAATAATTTGTATAATTTTGTGATTAATTTATATCCTCATGCAAACTTTTTTCTGTTCAAATCGGCTTTAAAGCATAATTACAAACCTGCAACAACATGTAGACTTACAGTTTTACTCAAGTTACCTAAAAAAGAAAGATTATGACGTGCTTTGTTTTGCATTTTTTTTGTATGAAAAGCGCTCTACAAATAAAGTTTGACTGATTGATTAGACAAAAACTAGACTATAAATACACAAGTAAACTTAACATTTTCCAATTAATCTATTAGCTTTTTCAAACTTAGCAGAAAATATACCTATGGCATAAAACAGAAATAAATGGCATGTGTCTAGAAGGAATGCAACTGCTGTAGAAATATTAAAGCGCCCACATTACGGTATTTTCTGATCTATGTTATAATGTTGTTTCTAAAACATACCTGGAGTTGTGTTTTGTTTTATTTACACATGTTTAAGACAAAATTTTCGCATATTTACGCTGAGTTCTTCTCTCAAATAGAAAACACCCTGTTCCACCTTGTGATGTCATGTGGTAAAACAGGAAGTCCTTTACTGTGTTTTTAAACTTCATACACCTTCACTAGAATAATGTGGATGAGTTCAGCCCCGAAATTGCTGGAATTTCTCTACTGAACAAGAGGTAAAAAGTAGATGTTAACTTGAAAAATACAATAAGAGGAGCATTTTGAGCTTTGGAGATGTGGACACACTATTAATAAAGGATTATTCAAACATATGTGAATGAAACAAAACACAACACCGGCTATGTTTTTAAGGAGGTAACAACATTCTAACATGACTAAAAAAGAGTCAGTTTTAGATAACACAGGCATAGGACAAGCTTCTAACCCCCAAAACATAATATGCTACTACAAACATTGTGCAGATTTCTGGTTATAACAATGCCCCAAATGTCTCGCTTACTGAACATAAATATTACAGTGAAGAATAAGATGGAACTCTGGTATTCCTAAAGTAACTGCACTTACCTCTTTTCTACAGGCCTGTTTCTCCATGTGCGTTTGCTGGCTCTCCTCATGTGCCCTCTGCAGCAGACAGGGGAATCACATATTCTGCCTCAGCTCGGCTCGGCTCCTGATGGGCCCATGGTTTATTAGGACATCATGACGCACCTGAAGTCTGTGAAACAAACTATTCCATAAAAGTGTGGTGTGATGTTGGCCGCGAGCAACAGGATGGGAAGTGTTGAAAGAGATGTTTGATCCTCCGAAGGAAAGAAGACATCATTAAAAAAGGTCAGCACAAGCTAGCGTAATTGGCACAATGTTCCCACACAAACATGGCCATCACACACAATGCTTGTACGCTCAGTTCTTGTGGTTAGGCTCTAACAATCAGGTAAACGCACGTGTCCTTATATGACATGGAGCAGATTGGTCCTCAAACATTTTGCACATATTACACAAAAACTCTTACCTGGCCAGCCAGAACCACATACTTTGACAAAACTTGAACTAATATGTGTAGGTCTGAAACTGTACAGTGTCTCCCTGATTCCAGAGGGAGTGACTGACAGACACATTAACCAATCAGAGACACGTGGTCCGTTCATGTCTAAACAAATATGGCAGACTACACTTAAAAAAGAGGAAAAACAACACAGAGGACTGAGAAACAGTATGCACTTCTGCAGAATCAACAATGGGAGGGCCGAACTTGATCGATCTCAGGTAAATAAATTTTATTCTAAATTATACACACATTTTCTAGAGGAGATGTGTGCGTTCAAGAGACACGTAAAACAAGTTAGCATCTGTTGTTGGACCATTTCAAATTAGATCGGACATTTTTCACACCCTGTGGTCCGATTACAGACCCTTCTGGATTTGAGCAGAATGTACAACCTACTGGCTGGTCAGGCTGCAAAAACAAAGCATATATAGCCATATTTATTTCATGTGATGCTTGTGATGGTAATCTTAGTTCTGTGTTTGTGTGGTTGTTGTTTTTTTTGTTTGTTTGTTTGTTGTTGTTGTTTTTTTGTAATGAGGTTGAAGATAACAGGGAAACCCTCCCAAAACCCACCTCCGTGTTGACAAGGATGTGAACCTAGAACCATTTTGATTCCAATTCCAAAATATACTTCTATATTGTATTAAACTGCATGCTAATAAAACATATTCTGTAAATTCTGTAAGTAAATATTAAAAGTATAAGTATGATGCATCTACTGCTAGTTCTTTGTATGTAAAAAGCATCTTCTGGAAGGAGTTATTTCCACTGAAGTCCAAATTTTGAAAAGTAATGTGAAAAGTAATAACAGCTATGGATTTGGACGGTCATATTCAGTCTAAGTTGAAGACCTGAAATCCCTCAAAGTTTTGGCAGAGAGCCAAAAATACAAGCTCAGTTGACTGTGCAGTAATAGTCACTTGCAACAATAACGCGTATCACTAACATTGCACGGTTGAAGGCAAAACCGTGGTGACAGCTTGTTACCACAGAGCATATCTGTGAAAGAAAGACTATCACTATTGTCCCTCAAAAGTAAACAATTATCATCTGATCGAAGAGTTTTAGTATAGGCCTGCGCACTAGTGCACCTGAACACATTACCAACACATGCTTTGCACATGTTAATAAAACGGACCTGCAAAAATAACAAAAGTCTATCACATTTATAAATCAGTCAAATGAAGACAAATTAAGGATTAGCTCGGACTGATCCATTCTGATAATCTGGTACTTCCTGTTCTGTGGGCCCCAGGCTGAAGGATATTCCCTTGACTGACAATTACACATAATTACAGCGTCTGAGTGAAAGCGTTATTTAACAAGCTGTGTCCTAAATTACCTATAATTGACACGGTCATTTTATAAAATCATTGACGAAGTTCGACGACTCCTTGCTTTTCCAGATGTCTGAGGGCCGAGCGCCGTGACCCTCAACTTCTGATTTATGACTCCAGAGAAAAACAGCCAAACTTTACTCTTGGTTTAAAGTTAAAGTTTTGTTTTCATATTCCAACAAGAATACGAGTGATGTTATCTGTTCACAGACCCACGCCAAGGAAATCACCGCTGCTCTGTTGATTAATATATTTTCAACAAACAGTCCAATTGGTTCACCAGGATTCATTAATTTCAAAGTTTATCAAGCCAAAACACAGTGGAAAAATATTGATGAAGCATTTTAGGCGGATTGGGTTCCAACTTTTGCTTGCTCTGTTGACATAAAAGGAGGATCAAACCAACGAAGAGGTTTGCAGCACGCAGACCAGCGCTGAGGCAAATCCAGTAATTGAATCCCAAAAGATTACCAGAGAACAACTGGAGGTGAGTAAGAACTGTAAATAAATGTTTGCAATAAGCCCCCATCTTCTAGAATCTTCGTGGATGAAATTACAGGATTACAGTTTTAAGAAGCGATTGTTTCACAGTGAAGTCATTGTGCTACTAAAACACCAAGAACAATGTATTTTTGTGGGTATTTCTTGAAAATCACCTTATAGTGCTTAGTGCAATTTATTTTAGAAGATTTTTAACTTATAGCTGTCCTAATAATAATGCTTTAAGGATGCTAGTTTCAATCCTTAAAGTTCTATATTATGTGAAATGTGTGTGTTAAAATGTTGTTCCCTCCTCAAAAACATAACTGGAGTTGTGTTTTGTTTCATTCACATGTTTGAGTAATCCTTTATTATTAGGTTGTCTACATCTCCAAAGCCCAAAATGCTCTGTTCCACCTTGTGATGTCATGTAGTAGTAGCTTCTTTTTACCTTTGCTTCAGTAGAGTTTGGCAATTCCAGGTCTGAAATGATCCAAATGATTATTGTGAAGGTGTATGGAGTTTAAAAACACAGTGGAGCACTAATACCACAACATCATAACGTGATTTGAGAGGAGAAAACAGCGTAAATATGCAGAGTTTGTGTGAATGAAACAAAACAAAACATAACTCCAGGTATGTTTGTGATGAGAAAACAACATTTAACCTCAATCAGAAAAAGCTAAGACACCCCTGTGAATGCATGAAAGATTTTTTATTACATTAAACACTAACACTTAAAAAATCTGCAAGTTTAAAATGATTGGAGTGAAAACATTTTCAATCCCCTTAATTTTTATTGTTAAATGTCCAAAATGTCATTTGAAAAGTCGATTTGTAACAACAAAGTCACAAGAGTGCATCTTACAGTATTACCCTGTTAAACTTACAACATAAAATACGAACAAAACAGAACAAAAAACAAAACGGTTCTTTGGTTGTTTTGATCAATTTCTATATTACAAACAACCACATTCTGACATCTAGATGCCCCATGAAAAGTCAGCACCAGAAATCCCTGAAATGTCCAGAAATAACCGGACTATACCCAGACGTGACTGCGCTTCTGTAACTGCCAGTGCTGCCTTAAGGACACATTCTGATCCCACTAATCCACTAAACCCAAAGCCCCAAATGTGACAGTGCTATCCCAAATGAGAAGTGCCAAAAAAAAAAAAAAATCCACATATTTTTGAAGATTGTTTCTAGATCTTTCACTGTCTCGAATGTTTCAAAACAATAACTTTATTTGGGACCATATAGGCTATAATACAACCACAAGGGGTCACTAAAGCAATTATATATTTTTTGAACATCGTTTTACCCTGTTTAAATGTAGGACAAGGCAGAACTCCAAGTATCATGTTCTTCAAGTGCTTTTAGTTTAAGTGTTGTAAACATTTTATAGCCTATTTGTTAAGCAGTCCTATATCTAAACCTCTTTGTTCTAGTATTTCTTGTAGTACAACTTCAACAATTTTGATCACTTGCGGCAGGATTTATCTTTTGTAGAGTCCTGATGATTATTCAGCAATTGCTTATATGTCTGTCGCCCTCTACTGGCAGTGTAGGAAGTGCACAGAGCATAATTGGGCACTACTTTATCTACATGTAACAAAAAGAAACATATTTTTGATGAGGGAACAACACTACCTATCACGGTTTAAAATTTCCCAAAGTCATTTCAGCGTTACATGAGAGCTTTAAAGGAGCACCATGTAACATTTTTGGTGAAGAATCTTCGACTTCCTTGTCTTCAGTTGGATTGTTATTGCTTTGCTTTGGAATGTTCCACAGTATGGCATTAAACAAATCTATCATGCATCTATTACAGGTATTTTTCTTCCTCAAAATTATCCTGATAAACAAACATTTGTAGTGAGAGCGGGGTCGCCTCTTCACAGATCTGGCACTTGTCTTCATGGAGATAGATAACTTGAATGCTAGAACATTCCAAGCAAAACAATAACATCTCTATGGATACAAGAAGTAGCCGTCCCACTAGCAGAAATGTTACATAATGCACCTTTAAGTTTACCCGGGAGAATTGCAGTCAACGTTTGCGCTGGACGTCTTGTGGGTCACATCATCTGAGTTCTGGGGACAGAGTCCTGCTGGTGTGCGGGGTACCAGTGTCCGAAATTGTTCATGTACGCTCCGGAGTGGACGGGCGCTGCTTTGGAGGCCATGCTGATGTCCCACAGGGAGCAGGGGGAGGACGAGGAGGTGGGCGGGGGGGCCAGGTGCTCCCCCTCCACTCCACAGGGACCGTTCTTCATGATCTTCTTGTACTTGGAGCGCTTATTTTGGAACCATATTTTCACCTACGAGACAGAAGGAGACATAATGGTTAGCAGATTTATAGATAATATGCAGTGAAGTCAAGCTGGGAGGTTCTATATGTATGTTTATGGTGTAAAGTTCATCAGTTACCATGGTGACACAATGTACACTTTAGCAAACACTACCAAAAAAGTTTAAAAATAGTCTCAAACTCAAGAAAAAAAACACAGAATGGATTAAAAACACATTTTCAGGAGCTTGTGATCAATACAAGTGTTCATGGTCTCGTTTAGGTGTTTGATTTTCTACAAAAAGCCAAAATGACTCACTGAAAAACTGTTAATACTAATGCTAGGTAGCTTGTGACTGCAATGTTATTTGAGAGGGACTTGTTTAACAGTACACATCAGCTCACCTACAGTAATTCCAGCTAAGTCAGTTTCTTTATGGTCAGATTATCTGGTGTTAATTTTGTTATTCATTATCTAAAGAGATGTTTTTTGAGGTGTTAGTAAACTATATGGAAAATGTTCATTCGGTAAACCACAATATTGATCTTAAACAACTTAATAATAGGAAAAGCAAAACTGTAGACCCATGTACGTGTCTTTATTGTTGAAAATAGCTACACAACAGTTTTGAACCCAATGCAGAGCTAAGGGGCGGAGATACGAGGTAGGTGAAAACAGAAATGTTCTAAGCACTCAAGTCTGGAATGTAGGATAATACAGAATTACTCAAACATGCATGAATCAAACAAAATACAACAGTGAGTAGATGAATGATACAACTGTTATAACACGATTAAAAGCTCAGTTAATATATCCCCTTTAAAAAAGAAAGAGAAAGTGCTGTTAGAAATAAAATAACAAAAATAACAAAATCTGCAGTTTTGTTGCTGTAATATGATAATATAATAATTTTGTTACACTGACAGCACCAAATGTCAGCAGGTTTGCCAGTCATGGAAGTATGCAACTTGAACAACAGGCTCGCTAATACAAAACCAGAAATGTGGTACTGCCGATGATAAGCTCATGTAATAAGTCTTTTTATAGTTTTCTTTTGTAGTGAGGCCAATTTGAACACTGAGACTACCATGCAAAGTATCTGGACTACGTACTTGGTGTGGCGGACACCACCTCATGACATCATGGAGTGCGTAACAAACAAACTGAACATGCACAATTGCACAACCATCCTTGAACAAAACAAAACGCAACTCCAACTGTTTATGACGGAGGAAACATTTTAGCACAATATTGGGCGTCTCTATCCATGCACATAATATAAATACAGCTTTTTATTTACAGATGTATTTATTTATTTATGTTATTTTATTTTTATTTTATACATGCATACAATGGGGCGGCAGTATTTCAGTTTGAAGTGTGTTTGTCCACTAATCTGAAGGTTGGTGGTTTGAATCCCGCTCTCGACATAAACATCATTGGTGGGCGTTTAGATCCACTGACCCACAGGTTGGTGGCGTGATTTCAGTTGTTGTGTTTTTGGGCAAGACACTTAACTCATCTCGCCCCCAGAGTTTGCGAACATTGGTGTGAGTGTGTGTGTGAATGGGTGAGTGTTTTTTTGACGTAAAGCGTTTGGAGTGTCTTGAAAGAAGAAAAGCGTAATAGTAATAATAATCTTGAATTTATTATTTATTTTTTATTATTTTAGTTTATTTGATTTTTAATTACATTTATTTATTTTTTGCAAATGGCCGACACACTGACTCAGTATTGCTCTAATCATCAGCTTGACTCTTCGGAGGCGCTGCACTGATGTGGTTGATAAAAGTTGGCGTGCGCGCTGCTTTGATAGCCACGCTTGCAAATTGAGCATTAAATTTCATGTAAATGCTTGTCAGGCAACTGTCATCTTCACCAGAGCACCACTACATCATAAATAATTGCAAACACATAGGACCCAAACACCCATTGTACTGCATATGAAAATACTACGACCTTGAAATACTCCGCAGAGCTACCCAAGTACTAAGAAGAAATGTACTTTGTTTTTTTCCATTTTGCGTTTTATGGAAGATTTTTTTCCTATAAACGTTCACTTAGGATAATTAACTTCATCAAATACTACCCAACTTTCGCACATTGTCTTTGTTTTGTATCGGCAAGAATTCAAACATAGTATTTACTAGCTCTCTATTGTTCAGTTTTACACACTGACGTCAATTACGGGCCATTAGAACGTAGAATGCTAGTGCTATCACTTCGTAAACAAAACCCACGGAGTCTTAGTCCACCGAAGTAAAGGCACGAAACCTATAGCCCACAGTGTAATCATTGACACAGATACAGAATATGTTTAGTGTATCTTATAGCGGGGAGTCCATCAACAGCCCGTTAAGCTAATGCAGGCGCAGCGAGAGGATTTCAGCGGTAATTATTGGTTTCGTATTACCAGTGCAACGTGGGGCCTGACAGTTTTCCCTGAGAGTGTGGTTAATGGCACTGGCATTAGTCGAACAGTGTGGTGGAGAGGCAAGCCAGGTGCTGCCGTCTTTGTGGACTCTATGGGTTTTTGTATTTTTAAATAAATACAGAGAATGGTGAGTTTGATGTGTGTTTAAAATTACTTTCTATTATTTTGCCATACAGGGTTGGTCACGTTTTATATAAGGCTTTTCCACTTTCAAGGCACTCACAGCGGTTTAGATCACGCACACATTCACACACAAGTGTACGTAGACACTGGGGGCGAGGTGGGTTATGTGTCTTGCCCAAGGACACAACGACAACATTCATCTGTGGGAGTTGGAATCTGTGAGTCAGTGGATTTGAGCGCCGCACCAGTGACTGATTTTCTTTTTCTTTTCTTTTTTTTTGTTTGTGTCAATGTCAAGAGCGGGATTCAAACTGCCAACCTTCGGATCAGTGGGCTAACATCTACCAACTGAGATAACATTCAATACATTTGGAGTACTCAGACACCTTTGCAGTAACAGTATTCTTACTTTAGTCAAGGTTTTGGCAACTCTTCACGTGTTTAAAGCGTTTTGACAATATTAAATGATTTCAACATTTGCGTACCATATTTTACTTGAATTTAACTTCTTCATCTGAGAATTATGTAATGTTTTTGCCTCTCCCACTACTTAAACTCATCAAGCGTACATCCAAAAATCACAAATTCTGGTTACTATACTTCAACTTTCTAGTATTATTTTTAAAGTAATGGTACATTTACAATTTACAAATGTACAAAGAGTCTTGACTGATTTGTACAGACGCCTGCCAGTAAAAATGAACCCTGGCAGCAATAATTATTTATGCAATTATTTATTTATTTTAAGTAAACACCAAAGCAACTCTATCTCTTCCAAAGCTGCATTTTCCCCAGTTTTAAATCCTCCAAAGCTTGCGTGCTGCTTCTGCCTGGGCACAGTGGAGTCACACAGAAAATGGCTGCTGCTGCTGCTGCTGGCCCACTTCCTAATGGTGCAGTGTCCAGACAGGGCTGTGTTATGTGATCCCTATCTTATACACTCTGTTTATATTTCCTCATTGCAAAAGCTACAGAACACTGGACCAATACTACAAGAGTTGAATGCATGTATGCATGCAGATGTAAAGACTGTGAGCGCGGAAAAGGTCACCTCGGAAACTTGACGCGTACTTTTGGAGAAGGGTGTTAAATGGTGCTTTGTTACCGGTCAGGCTCGATAGCATTTTGTGTATAATATCATAATAGAGTCATTTAATTTAAGTATGTGCCACTTGTTTTAAGAGAGTAGCAACAAAATACAACTCAACACACAAATGGATTCTCTTCATGCAGAACCTGCAGAAAGGTCTTACTTACTCAGATCTTACTTAAATCAACTTTTTTGGGGATTTTTGGTAGGTTTTGGAGTTGTAGCATTGTTCCCTCATCAAGCACGTGCCTGGATATTTTTAAGATGTACATGGACATGCATGTTTTCACAGAATATGTCATTTTCAAAACAATAAAATCTAACTTGGTAATGTAATTATGTTATGTGTCAGCAGTTAATACCTCATACGCCCTCTTTACAGGTTTATTGTACCAAAAGTTTCCCAACCTGTTATATGAAGATCCATGCACTTACCAGAAAGGATATTTCAGATTTTAAAAGAAGATGAAACAGAATAGAATTTGTGCTTAAGTTTATATCCTTTAACATGTGCTTTGTAAAATCTTTGGACATAAATATAATTTAAGCTTGAGAATGAATTAGTAATAATTGATAACTTTTCTAAAAGTGATGCAACTCAACCAAGTTAAATCACAAGTGACACACATTTTCTGAGTACAGAATATCCCCAATTAATTAAATATTAGTATCATTATGTGTAACATAATACCATAAAACATAATGGTGCAATTAGCTTAATTTTGTTTTCAAATTGCTGTGCTGTTTCTCTTTCTATATACATTTTAAATTACTTTTAAAATGCAGTTGATCTCTTTAGACAATTCTTTAGAAAAAAAATTGTTGTGATGATTTTTATAAAAGGTTCCTACACTTTCTACAACCCGTAAAATTAGAATACACCATTTTCCATTAGGCGTTGTGACACTGATCAAATCGTAATGACCCATAATGGCCACTCTTGGTAATTGTTACAATATCCAAACTTGCCTCGCTGCGGTTTATGACAAGCTCAAGTCGAGCCAGCGATCATTTCAGAGATATCCATTAATGACTAATATTACACCAAAGTTATACATTCTTTTTGTCTGTCTGCCTGCTTTGTTTGATTTGTACAACGGTGCATTCTAGCCTTTTCTCCACCACAAAAGTCCAAATGGAGCCGAGCGGATGATCTCTTACTCCCAGTGTAAACAGAGCTGCGGTGCTTAATTCAAACGGGATTAGAGAAAACCTCTCTCCATAGCGTCTATGTACACTCAGCACATGCAAATACAGAGCTACGCAACACCAGTCCGAGGTTAGTATCAAAACTCATAAACAAAGGAAACTGAGAAATTTAATGGGAAAAAAAAAAAAACATGTTTAAATATTGCAGGTTGTAACATATAAAAATAAAAAAAAGTCTTGTGTGGTTAGACACTTCAAGACCACTCACATTATATTTACAGTGGCTAACATCAATATTTGTATTTGATGTAATATTTTAACTTTTTCTCAACATTTTTGCATTGAAATAAAATTCTGGCTAATACACAAACTTTTAGGAAATAACTTTATTAAGAATGCTGCACGTTTAGTCACTACATAATTAAGGGGTTGGGAATAGGGTGTCAATTAAGTTAAGTATTAGTTCATTATGACATATTATTAAACATTATCAAATATTATGCTTGATTTTGTTAACATTGTGCAATGAATAGATAATAAACTGTGTCCGTTTCATATCTCTAATTAGAAATAAAAAAAAAATGCATATTACATTTTCCTATATAGTCAGCTAAATGTTGTGTCTCTATAAAGGGGTGTTACAGTCATCGCCTTAAAAAGAAATGAAAATAACTGTAGGTGTAGCTGGTATGGCAAAATTTAGGAATTATAATTGGTGCTCTGTTGTCACTGTCACGCATGAATCACAATAGTTTATGAGAACTCATCCAGACCGACTTTTGCACGTCGACACTTTACAAGGCAGCATCTCATTACGTGAATGGAGCTATTTAACTGCATTGACGATCCCAGCCAAAAGTGACAGCATTTTATAAGAATGTGCCGGCTCCTGTTTGGGTTTTTCATGCCGACCTTAATACGCCTTCTGTGTGACCTTCATTACAACAACAACCAAAACTGTAAACCACAATCAACCACCATTTATCTGATTCCAAATCATCCAAACAGAATCAAACTGAAATGACATGATTGCACTAACTTCCCAATAAATAAATCATGTACGTATTTTAAATTACGCTGCAGTTCTGGTCAAATTGTCTCAAAAATTGTCACTCAAAATATACTCTTTCATGTATAATTTTCAAAAGTATAGTAATAGTATTTTTGTATTTTTTAGTATGCAAAACTATTTGTAAATTATCAACGCTATACCACACACTTCATCTAACACTATCTGACCCGAATACAATTACGCAGTACAAGTCCATGTTCTAGTACGTTGCATCCTTGTATATTTTGTCTAATGTCAGAGTGATTCATAATTTATATTGTTGTCATAGCGATAATATCAATTCAATAGCAGACCTGTCAAAATAATTATTACCATCTACTTAAACTGACATTTGTTATAGTGACAGGTTTATTAAAAACACAATATTCTTTCTTTTGTATAGATCAAAAGTTCTCAAAATATTAGACCAAATACATACCTGCGTTTGCGTCAGGCCCAGTTTGGCGGCCAGGTCAGCTCTCTCGGGCAGGGCGAGGTACTGTGTCTGCTGAAAGCGCTGGTTCAAAGCCTGGAGCTGCAGACTGGAGTAGATGGTGCGGGGCTTCCGGATCTTCTTGCCTTTGCCGTTGAGCCTCACCTCCCCGTTTTCGATCACCGCAGTGGGTTTGTCGTGTTCTGCACAGAAGACCATTCCAGACACAGTGTTTTGGGTTTAGTGATGTTGACTGAATGAAATTATATTATACAACTTTTAGTGCTTTTCCCTGCTTGCCTCCATGGGGTTGTTTTGGGTTGGACACCACCAGGTCAAGGTACAAGTTAGATCTGTCAGGAAGCAACCCCGCTCAAAATATAAGCATGTTTTTCAAGGTTTTTTAAAAGTTTAATGCCATACTGTGTTACTTTCCAAGCAAAGCATTACAATCTCCATGGAGACAAGAAGATAGGTGCATAATTATTTGCATTTATCATAAGTCTACATTCCCAGTTAATCAGAAAAAGCTGTGACAAGTTTAAATTTATACTTGTGGTTACTTGCCTTGAATTACAGAACTTTGTATAGATGTTCAAGAGTGAATGGGTTATTGGTGGATTTCCCAGATCAATATACAAGCAATAATATTAAGTACGAAATGGTCTGGTTTCCAAAAAGAGGGTCTGTTCTCTCTGTTGCTCACATGCTGCTCGCCCACACTCATGTTATGACAAGAGCTCACAACAGCTGTGCACTGCCCCAGACCCACTACAGACAACTGGAGTGCACAGGAAAATTCAACCTGCAGTTATTCTGTGTTGGCAAGATCTATTGGAAGATTTACAGCTGCATGAATACATTAAAAAGTATTTGATCTTTGTGATAATGATTTATTCTGTATATATGTTAAAATAGTTTCACTTTGTCAAAAACTAAAAAAAGTAAAAACAAACTTGACTCACCAAGATGTTTGCAGCAGTTATACAGTCCACATGAACAGAACAAGTCCAAGAGTGTTCATGTGCAGATCAGTTCATTCTCAAGTAAATTAATGTTTCATTTAAATGTCATAATCAAGAATTCATATGATGTGTGAGCCAAAAAAAAAATCTGTATTTGAATGTTTTTTTTTTCATCTCAAATTGTGTCTTTGGGTGGGGTAAAATATATTATTATTATTATTATTATTATTATTATTATTATTATTATTATTATTATTATTATTATTATTATTATTATTATTATTATTATTGGTGGTGGTGTTTTTGTTTTGTTTTGTTTTTGGTTTTTTTCTTACTTACCGGACTCCTCTAGTCTGGAGTGTCCCAGTCCGCCGCTGTGCGCTCCGGGCTGGTACGGCAGATATGCTCCGGGGTGGCTGTACGGAGAATATCCTAGCGGCCGCCCGTACGAGGCCCCCGAGGGGAACGGGCCTTCATGCTGCGAGGGCCCCACCGCGTGCAAACTGTGGACCGGGTAATGATTGTGTGACAAGCCGGGGGAGGGCTGCTGGTGTCCGGCATGTCCAGGGTAGCTGTGCCCACCGAATTCCAAAAAGGCGGACTTGGACGGGTCAGACAAAGTGTCCGGCATTGAGCTCATAGTCATTATTGGGCCCAGGGCAGAGGTGCACTGTGATCTGCTAACTCAAGCCCGGAGGCGTCTTCAAACCAGCCATAACGAGGAAAAATATCACAGGCATAAAAAGATTAGCGCGGTAGTAAAATGTCAAACCTTAGTAAAATGTAGGTTAATGGCCTGGGCACGACAACCCCACAGGCCGTGGTTTTGGTGCTTTACTTCAGCTACATCCCAAGTTCTGCACGAGTCCGTTCTGATCCAAACCTCGACGCTCTCGGATATCCACGAACTGAAAAGCAGAAAATGTTGAAAGTGCAGCAAGATAAATCTCCCGCGGTCAGTTTTGTGGCTGTTTTCGGTCCAGCCGCGTGGTTTGACTCTGCACAGTAGCACAGTAAAGACCTGTAAAGACGAGGCTGCATGCGCTGCGCGCTTCAGTTCACTGTGACTGCAGCAGAGTATCCATGTGAGCTTCTCGCGCGCACCGCACGCTCATTGGCTGCGGCGTCACCAACCACAGCACGAGCCACACAGTGTGCGCGAGGCACCGGACAGGCCCGGAGCAGCGCGGGAACACACGGATAAAACCATTATGCACCGATCTACAACAGGAGACAAGGGACATAATAGAACAACAGGGGCTTAGTGCATCCCATATTTGTGTCTTACGTGCTGGGTCTATGTTAGGCTCATCTACAAACTAAACTGGAGGTTTGGGATGGTTGAGTTTATTTTTGACTCAAAGGCTCCAGTCTGTTTTCTCAAAGGCTATAGAGTATTATGCAAATCAAATCACAATATCCTGCTTAAAAGTATTTCGGGGAAGAGTTTTATAACTAATTAAATTGATGAGCTCATGGCTTAAATAATACCCTACCAAACGGCCTCCTGGACGCATGCACGCGGTCAAGCACACCGCCTGTGGTCCCGCGCCACGGACAGTCACAACAAACAAACTCCTTCGAGAGAAACGAAACTTGTTATTTGGGCAAATCTTTGGTTCTGGCGCTGGAGTCTGAGTTTGTCATTACGCTCATTTGGAAATCCCGGACCAAGTGCCTTCCAAACAGAGGGCCAGAACACTTAGATCTGGAGATAAACAAACAATGATGTCTATAGCAAAATTCAAATTTATTTTTGTTATCTACAAGTCTAAAGACCGAAGTGCCTCCTCACTCAACAAGAGGGCAATATTTAGAATTAGGTTAAGTTGCTTTAATGTGAAAATTAGGCCTTTTAGGCCTTTGTTGACATCCGAGTGGGCCTAATTTTAGAGCTCATTTATGCTATATCTAAAAGTCTTTTGCCACATGAAGACTGTTCTACCTGGCCACATTTAGATCATTATTTTGTTATTTATTTACGTAGGTCGGAAAGAGTTTAAGAGCAGAAAAAGCAAAATAGGCGAGTTACAAAGCGTCACCAGAATGTGCCTCACGTCTATAGCAATGAAGGGGCAAAAAAACGAACCTTTGTGTTCAGCAGGAAACGCAGGCGTAAGAATAAGTGTAGGGATTTCTATAGGTCTGTCCTATTGTGACAATATAATAGCATCAATTGAATATGACAATAGTAAATATGCAACCACTTGAGTTGTAATAACAACACATTAAGTGTTCTATAATCGATGTATAAAGCAGGGTCAGACCGGAACGCCATCGAGCAGGGAGAGAGATGTTTTGGCATGTTCCTCCTCGCCTGTGCGCCGCTGGATCGGGCTCTTTATACCAACAGGCTGATGTGAGAGGAGTTATTACGCATCCCAGGCGGCACTGCGGCTTTCATGTGCGGCCAACATTCCTCCCCTCCTTGATTTCACCTCTGTGCGCGCTCGGCAACACCCTCCGAGCCATCAATGCTGTTATTACGGTACGAATCTCTCCGCCGGCTCGTTTTTCGTGCACTAAAAGAGAAAGACGCACGCATGGAAGCAAACAAACTAGAGCTCACTTAAACCTGAGTAGCAGTGATTTAGGCTATAGGACTATATTACAGACTCGGATGCTGTAAGGACCTTTTGTGTGTCAGGATCAGAGGGATATTGTTGTGTAGATCCTGTAAACTATTGTGAAAATATGCGCTATTGTAAACCAAACTGTAAACCATATGAAGAGTGACACGCTGAACAAGTGGCGCTCCTCGTGGCCCTGGATAGGCCTGTAGATAACATGGTCTTGAGGATTCCTTTTTTGAAGCTGACATGTTCATCTGTCATGTTTAAAGCAGCAGGCATTGTTTTTAGCATAAATCTGAAATATTTTCTACTGCATTTCTTGGTAGGCTATAATGTGGGATGCACAAAACGGCTGTTTTGGCTCAATGGATGCCAAATTCAGATAAATTCAGTTTCAAATTGAACCAGGTACGTATATAAAGGTATCACAGCAGTCCCGTGGAGGAGAGACAAAACCTTCTCCTTTTACCATGGTTTGCGTGGCCTTTAGTATTACGCAGGTCTATAGTGACAGATTCTAGATTCTCATATTCATTCTTATTGGGATCAAATTTGAAAAACTTTCTGGATTATATTTATAGCCCATTATATTGACAAATCAAATGTAATTGGATGTATCTGAAAACTCATTTGTCCCTCAGCCTATAGGAACAGGAGCAGTAAAGAGAGGGTGTTTTTGTACCCCTTTACATGAAATGTTCAGTTTAATGTAAATTCAATTTTGACATTTGGTCACAGTTTCAGTGGGGCAATATAACATTTCCACAATATAAAAACCAAAATACCACAGGTGGTTATATCAAGGAGTATTTTAAAATATTTGAATGCAATCTATTAGGCCTGCTGCTTGGTTTATGTATTTGTAGAGATTTAGAAAAACACAGAACAATTACCAGGGCAAAACAAGTAGCTGTCAGTGACTATTAGGTCTATAACATTTTATGGACTGAAATAGACTTCTGCTTATTTATTCTTGACAATATTTTTAATGCAATAGGTGTAACTGATGACCAATAATCCACTCATGAACACAGTGGGAGAAGTGTAATTTTAAAACTGTGGTAGGTCATATACCCATTGACCCGTGCCAATAATGCGTAGATGCTGTGGACCCTCACATACACAGCCTGGTGCATGTAGATGGTGATCTTCCAGGTGAGCTCAGAGAAAGAGGCGGTGTCTCTCACACTGTAATTATGGCGTGCCATTCTGGAGCGCTCAACAAAGGCGAGCTTGCAGCCTGCAGCAGCACAGAGCAGGGATGTGCTTGTGCCTCTATTCACACCAGAGTTAATAACAATACTGCAGAGTGCAGAGCAGACAGCGTGGCGTCAGCCCTCCCACGTGTGTCTGTGCGTGTATGAGCTGATGAGGAGGAGGCTGCATGAGGAGGGTGTGAGACATTGAGAGGAAGAGCATGCCCCACTCTACAACCAGCACATTTCCAACAGTGTAACCTTTACTGCGCTGGAGTCTGGAGCTCTGCACTATCCTGAGCTGACATCATCTGTGAAACAACAAGACAAGCATTTTCAGGAATTCATTTACACTTCAAAGCATCCAATCATCACTATAACAAGGGTTAATGTCAATGTTTTGCTTAAAAATTACTGTTGCACCAGGTCAAAAAAACTTACTCTTTCATGTGCTTGATCGCATTAAACAAAAATGCAATATAACATATAACTCAGCCTGTTTTTAAAGTGCTTGTGGGTGGTAAAATCCCTATGTGCAAATCACACCAACACAGAGGCCCCATGCTCAGATCCGTGGCCTCTTCTCAGGAGACCTCACAGTATTGCTTGCCATCTGCAGTGTCACAGAGTACACATGTCTGAGAATGTTCACGGCTGAACCAGTGTTGTGACATGTAACTCCAACATTGAACTCCACTTGAGGCATGGACTCTCCACAGACCAAGGGCGAGTCAGCTCATACTAGACTCCAGATAAGAACCACCGAGGCTTAAGATTTGGAGGTGTTGATTTTCAGATTGCTGGGCATCTTCTGTCCCTGTATTGGACTGTTGTGATTAGGGAGCTGTGTCGAAGGGACAAAATATCATATACTAGCACATAAAATGAGTTTCTTTTGCAGAGTGGTCAAGTGCTCCTTTAGAGACAGGGTGAAAAGACCTAAATCACTTGAAGAAGCTCAGACTATTGCTGCTTCTCCTTCACATCAAGGTAACTGAGACCCTAGAGAAGACTCTGTGCCTCTGGTTGGGGAACACCACAGCATCCCCCTGGAGGAGCTGCAGGAGGACTGGTGAGGGCAGTAGAGAGTAGAATACTCTATAGAAGATGGATGAAACTACTGTAAATTGGCAGTATACTGTATATTGTATATTGTTTGGTAAAACATTTTCTCTTGCATTAGACATTAGAAGCATGGAAAGAACATTTTCTACCACTAAAGATGTTGGCTTTCAAATTGAACTGTATTGGACCACATGTGACAAGTGCAAGGCTTTTGTAAAAGAAAAAAAAGAATTTGTCATAAATAACTTCTGATAAAAATCGTAAAAAATCTCAATTATGTCCATTTTCACAATTGTGGCTGGTAGGCTTTGAAGTAAAATCAAAAATATAAAGTACAAAACAATGGAGTAGTTAAACTAAATACACCACTCTTTAACTGTTTGGACTCGTGGACTGTTTTGGTGCATGGGCTCAAAGCAGATGGTTTAATAAGATCCTGCAGTGTTCTGGATACTCCCTGGTGACTGGGAATCTAGAGAAATGATTCCTCTGTTGTACCTCTGTGCTGAGACATGTGGCATTGTTGAACATGGTCATTTTAGCACTGTGACTGTGGAAAGTCAATGCAAACTGCAAATTATATAGTTATGCTCCCATATGTATTCAATATTTTCGGTATAAAGTAAAAGACCATAAAAAAAAAGCAATAACCTCTCTAAACTCTGTATTTGTAAACCAACATAAACTTGAAGGAGACAGTATTGTGTGTGCTGAATGGTCCGTGTGCTGTGACTGTTGCTGTCACCTGCAGAGCTGCTCCTCACCTTTGATCACATGTTGTCATTATGAGAAGAACACTTCTGACCTGAGGCTGAGTCCTCAGAGGTGACTCTTATTGTTCTCTCACTGTCTGTGAGCAGTCAAGTGCAAACATTAATCAAAAAAAAAAAGAAAAACTCCCACGTGTGTGGATGGATATTTTAGGCGTGTGTTTTATATTAGGTGCATTTTACGCTTCATAAATGAGCCAAAATTGTATTAACACATTCACTTTGATGACAGCCTCACCTGTAATGCAGGTTCATTTGTTTAATTAAAGCTTAGTCAAATGTGGAAACACTTACTTTTGAAATATATATTAATTAATAAAATAAATAATTAATCACATCATTATCATTAACTTAATATATGATATGTTGATTCATCAAAAAATGTGTTTAGTCTGAACCTTTTAGCTTAAACAAAGGCTGTTATTATT